TTGCAGTATATTTGTCCAATCATAAACTTTGCTTTAAGAAGTATGGTGACTAACCATCAAGTAATTCTAGATGATATATAAATATGGAAGCTTTCGACACAAATATTTCGGCTCACTTCAAATAAGATATGTTCCTTGGGTATCCAGTCAAGTTGCCAATGGTTCAACTCACCAACGCCAACTCGCCAACCTATAAAATCGAGTAGAGACGTCAGCGAGTTGGTCTTCAATCGAATACAACTTATTAGAAGTTAAATATATAGAAAAGTAAAAGATCTTTAGCAAAAAACTTTTTTGAAAAAAACTTGGCTTTCTTGAAAAGATCTTTAGTAAAAAACAATTCTATTTATTTCCAACAAAGGTTATAGGGATCTCAAGGCGAATAAAGCAAGGTAAACATCGCCACTGACCAAAAAAGCTTTAGACACGAACATGTTATTGTATGACAACAACATTGTAAAGATATAACATGTCAATCTGTCAGATTTTTTTTAAAAAACTTGGCTTTCCTGACACGATCTTTAGTATTATCTTTAATTATGATCAAGAGTGATATTTTCCTTGCTTTATTCACCACGAGATCCTTATAAACTTTGTTGGAAAAAAATTGTTTTTTACTAAAGATCTTTTACTTTTCTATATTTTTAACTTCTAATAAGTTGTAATGGATTGAAGACCAACTTGCCGACGTCTCTACTCAATTTTATAGGTTGGCGAGTTGGCGTTGGTGAGTTGAACCATTGGCAACTTGACCATAATTCGTTCCTTGGCAGAGCAACAGATGGAAAACTCACTAAACATGAGTCCTTACCTGGTCTTAGCACTTTGTTGTAAACTGTTTCTGTTACCAGGACATCAGTCCCTTCACTCTTGTTTACCTGACCCTTATTACAATTTTCTTTCTTAATTGGCAAGCAAGTAAAGAAATTAAAATTGTCATGATTGTATTGTTTGGCTCACTAAAAATTAATCTTGTGAAACATGAAATGTCCTCCCCTTGATTTTTTTCTTGCTGTCCTTTTTGTGGGTGTGTGTGGGTGGGTGTGTGGGGAAGGGTTGTGGAGGGGATGGTGGGTGACCATTTTGCAATTGAAAAATGTGTTTTTTGAAAAAATGAACTTTGAGCCCAGTTTGTAGCAAATAATGTGATGTCAAGGGCTTGTTGAAGGCATTGGACTTACTAAACGTGCTTTTTTTGTGCATTTTCTCAAAAAGTCTATTTAAAGTCCTAAATTAGCACAAGTTATCTAGAGAAAGGTATTTTTTGCAAGGACAGGAGATTGCTAATTTAAACTCTTACCAAAAATTTCAGCTTTGTTGGAATGATGCACAGCATTCCTGAAACCATCAGCAAGTCTATTGATGATACTGGATGGGTGATGGAGATGTGCACAAAACAGCAGTTAAAGGTACTTTTTCATTCAGTGCCGGAGCAATGGATAACAGGCCCAGCTGGTAGTGGCAAGACATGGCTATTGATGAAAAAAGTATTAATGCTGGCTGAGAAGGCAGTCTTGCAGGGCACTCAGGAAGAAATACTGGTGACCTGTTACAACAGGCATTTGTCTTTGATGTTTTCCAAGACATTTGAAGTTGAGTTGAAGAAGATTCTTGGAAATAAAAATTTAGAAGATGTTGTCAAAGTTAAGACTTTTGATTCACTTCTCTATGATATTACTAAGTCCACACCAGGTAAATCTTACAGAGATATCGTGAAACATGTTGCCAAAGCATTGGATGTGGTAAAGAGAGGAACTAAGTCTTTTCTCCAAAGGTACGATCATATATTTGTTGATGAATGCCAGGATCTCTGTGGTAAAGAATGGCCAACTCTCTTTAAGGAGTTGCAAAAGGATGATGATGATTTGTGTAGACGCAAACACATCTGGTTCTTTTATGATTCCAATCAGGATCTCAGAATTTCAGAAGAGCAGGATGAGCTGCACAGGGAGTTAATTACGAACAGCCTGTGGCTCACAAAAGTTTTGAGAAACACTCGGATGGTCTTTAAACAGTCAGGGAAATACTTTACTTCAAAAATTCCAGGTCTAGAACCTATAACGGTAGGACATGATGTACGTGGATTAGAAATAAAGTGGGATAACTCACTAACAAGCCAAAAGGTTAAGGCGAAATATGGTGCAAGATGCATCAAGAAGCATATTGAAGATCTTCACACAGAAAAAGTTAATGACAAAGATATCTGCATTCTGACGGAAAATGTAAAGGATCGAAATGAAATCAGTTCAGAGCTTAGGGAAATGCGAATTGAGAGCCAAAATGCTCTAGAAATGTTTCAAAAGGATGACAACAAAGTTGTGGTTGAGAGTATCCGGAACTTTAAAGGGTTAGAGTCAAAAGTGGTTATTCTTTACAAGCCACCTTTTACCCAAAAGGATGCCTTGAGAACGAGTGATACTATGAGAGTGAAGGAACTTCTATACACGGCAATCTCAAGATGTTTTTGCTATCTGATTGTTGTCTCAACCAAACATGGTTGCAAAGTATTAAAATCAGAGAAGGGGATAGAAACTTAGAGGAACTTCCATATTCAGAAGTTTCTAGAGATTTTTGTCATATGGTTGTTAGAGTCCCCCTGCAAATGATCCATTGAAGATGATGATGAGGACAGTGATCCATTCAACATCAAGTGCTCACCAGCTAAACTCTGTATGAGGCCAACCATACTTACAAGATCTTGAAAAGAGATTCTTTTTTTGAGCTGCATTATCTGTTTCAAATATTATCCTTTGCTAAGGGAGTTCTTTTTAAGTAAAAGCTGTGGAAGATATATAATGTGTTTCTTGTAACCATTCAGTGATACTGTTTCTTAAACATTATACCTAAGTGGTCTAGTAACTATTTACCTCTATTTAGAACATCAAACTTTGGTGTATTATGGAACAATTAACTCTATGAGGAGCTTTAGTACACATGTGAAATGATTTCAATGTATTGATGGTCAGATTTAATCAACTTGATTATTCAAGTCTGCCCCTGAAATTAACCCCTGTATTCTACAACTTCAATCCTCTGTGTGACCTTGAGAGTGTAACTCCACATGTGTCCTACAGGGTGTTACCCATAGATGATATGGACAAATAATTATTGTCTCTCAATTTTGTTTTGGCAGTGGTTTATGGATTCATTTTTTCATGAAATAAATGCACCTGTAGCAAAGATGAATACAAACTGTACATCCAGGCTTCTGAGAGACACTCCCCTTCTGATTTTTATTTCAGAAAAAGTTTCGACTGCCTGACTATTCTATTTTGATATGATTATTTAGGTGTTGAGTATCAATTGCATCAATTTTGTAGATAATTAAACCAGTGTAAGAGTGGCACTCAATTTATTTCAGCCATTATGAGACTAATGTTAAATTCAGTATTATCACAGAAAGCTGGATCAGCATTGCGTTCTGCCACAAAAAATTTGCTTATGTGACTATGTTACTGATAGATGTAGTTTTGAGATAACTCTTATCATGTGGAGAGCACTGAAGCCTTCCTAAAGCTGGGTTATTGAAAACCAGATAACATGATTACAGGCTAATTAAAGAATTTTGTTAAAGGTTTTTATGTTCTACTTTCTCTCTCTAAGTCAGAGAAATTTTGTTAGATTTGTGGTTTATCAAAATAAGGCGATATTTTTATCAAAGTATTTTAATAACAACATTTGTAGATAAGATAGGAGTGATATTTTAGATTTGTAGTTTATTGAACGAATGCAACATTTTTCAAGTATTTACAGTTCAACATTTTTAGATAAGATAGGAATGATCTTTCGAGTTTTAGGTAGATTTTGTCACAGATCAAAATTTGATGAAAAGTTTCCATGTAATTGATGTGGTAAAGTAGAAGTTTCTGATGCATACAGGGAATATGTATTGTAGAAATCAGCTTTATAGATATTATAGCTATGAATTTTGTTTTGATGGTAACAATTTTCTCTTAGACTTAATGAAAATTTTTTACCTCTCAAAAGTCTTATGAACAATTATTTGGCTGGACTGGAATTTTAATAAATATGTCAAGATGGATTAGATTCTTGTTTAGAGTAAGAATTGTCCTTTATGGGCATTTAAAGTAAAAATAGGAATAACCTTGAAAGTTAAAGGAAAATATTGTTAAAGATGTCAACTCTGAACATATGAAACTGATAATCTCTTTGAATAAATTCATCGACTGTAAGAGCTGAATAGGAATTAAGTCCTTCTATTTATCTTACAATGCATTTACTTTGGACGAGAGTACATATTACCAGTATGCGCATGGCATCAGAAGTGACTACAAAGTGAGAGAAAATGGACAAAACTGCATTCTTAGTCTTTTATTTGTACTGTCTGATTGACATTGTATTAAAAATTATGACGCAAATCTGTAGACTGATCACTCTGTTGAGTTGAATAGTTGAGCCGGACAAAGATATTGCTAACAGGAGTGTCAACAGGGGTGTCAACAAGTCTGTTTCACATCCTGAAGTATGATTGTTATTCATACTTTGTTTCTTTTGAAACTATACTAACAATCTTATTATCTTGAGAGACTTAAAACTTGAAAATTCAGGAGGCAATGATTTTTAATCCTTTAACTCGCAGAATGAATTAATATTTAACTTCTCCTTACCATTGTTAGGGGGGAGTAGCCAGATTGCAAAATTTGTGACGGACTAGGCCTAGTGACGGACTGAATATTCACTTCAAATGAGGGCTTAATGCGATCCATTCCTGGGAAAATTGAAAATGAGAGACAAAATCTAGAATGGCATTAGGGTAGAGTACTGTTCCAAAGTATTCCTCTTGTCTGAAGTGTTAGAAAAGCTCCAGAATGCCAATTATACTACGCTATTCGAAGTTCTTATTGAATTTTTTAACCCCCATAAGACCTCTTCCGATGCGTGTTGTGCTAAGCTACAAACGAAACCATCACCTGCCCTCCCCTGGTTATCATTACCTCCGTTCCAAAATCACTTGGTCAGCGGTAATCTACATTTTCAAAGATGGCGGCTATCAACACCGGCGATTTTCCTATTCACGGGCTTTTACCTAAGCGAGAAACGGGCGCTGATAGATTTTTGGCTAAATATCCCGAGTATGATGGCCGTGGAATTGTAATCGCTGTGTTTGATACAGGAGTTGATCCGGGAGCTCCCGGTTTACAGGTAAGTTCTAGTTCAGGCAATTGTCCGGATTCAATACTCTAAATTTTTTTGATGTGTTATAACTCGATGGAAACTTAAGGAAAATTAAATCCATTCGCAGTTGTCTCGGTTTCAAGTCACCATCAATAAAACGGAGTTTGTCAGGCCTTCGGAAAGTTTTAGTTCGAAAAGAGTTTTGTGGTACCTTTGACGTGACCTACCATTTTTCCGCATCTTAACAAACAAGTTGTCCAAGGACAAGATTTACATCGATAAGTCTACTTGTCTAACAACTCCATGCCACTCTGTGGATAGGGAGACATGTCAAGGGAAAACTCTGATGTGATGACATAAAGAACAAAAGACAAATTGGTGAAACAACAAAATGAGAGAACTTAGTGAAACAATATTAATTAGGTTTCTCTGTAGTGGAAGACAGTTTCTATGTTAAATTTTAGCCACTCTTACCATTTCCTGCAACAGGCAACCCACAGGTTGAGACTTTGAAAATTTTTTGTTAACTTGAAAATTGGAGAGGCAATTGAACAGACTGAATTAAATATTTTAAGACTTCTGTGGTGACAATAGATGGTATTTGGCAGTATAGGGAGTAGTTTCTGGCAATAATGCTGAAAACTGTTTCTTTTTTTGGTGATTTGCTGAAGGAAATCATTATTATGATTGTTTTCCATATGAAGTTAAGGATTATGTAAGGGAAATGATTTGAATAGTTAATTACTTTCTGACTTCTTTCTGACCTGGACTAATTTTTTTCAAATTTGTGACTGTGAAAAGCAAAATGGGACATTCGAACAGATAACCGTTAGTGTTCGTTTTGCCTTTCATGGTCACATTTATTGTGAGGTGTTTAGAAGGGAAGATAAAACTTTATCCAAAGGATAAATCACCATCCAGTGAATAAGTGTTAACCAAATGTTCTGTGCAATATATCTTCCATGCACATTGTTCAAATGGTGGATAACACCATCCAATGGGCAAATTGCTATCCAGTGGATAAGTGTTTAGATAACTTACTATGCTATCCAGCAGATAGAGATTTGTCCATTGGAATTATGCATTATCTACTCTTGGAACAATGGTGGCCAGAGAGTGATAGAGAGCTCCATTGTGGTAAACTTTGACATCTGATTAGCAATTTTTTTTTCAAGGAAACCCCTGATGGACGACGAAAAATAATTGATTTAATTGATGCCAGTGGAAGTGGTGATGTTGATACCTCAACAGTTGCTGAGGCTGTTGATGGCTGTGTGACAGGACTTACAGGAAGGAAACTGAGGGTTTGTTTTTGATGTCTTTGGCTATCCTTATTCTCTTATTCTGACCAGTCCATTTTTTCTTTTAGCTGAAAATTTTATTGTATAATTTTCAAGACTTTTAAACTCTCAGAAAAGAACAGCTTTATGGGCCTGATTAGTTACAGTGACCTTTGGTAAACTGCTCCTTGATGCCAGTCCATTGCAGGGTAATACCCGTATCTCTCTAGCATTTTGGAAGATTTCTAAGGTGGTAGGTTGGCACCCATTTATACTCTATAGTGGAGAGGGGCATCATGAGTGGAGAGTGTATTTCCTAAGAACCAAATTAAGTGATGGGCCATGGCTTGAAAACAGACCTTTTGATCTGGGGTACAGTACACAAACTACTAAGGTTACCATTTCTTCCATAAGCATGTGAAAAGCTCTTTTAAACTGTTTTATGTGCTTGGGCAATATTGGAGGTCATGTGTCTCACAGTCTAAGTTCTGAAACACGACACTTCACTATTGTGAATGGCTTGATTGGATCTGATGTGAAACACGAGATTTGGGAACAGTAAGAGTCCATTGGCTGATTGATTAAATTCAATCATCTGATGTCAACATTAGCAGGTGGATCCTCTTTTGTACAAGAGTCTAATCATGTGCTTTTTTCTACAAAATTGAATTTGTGGAAGTGTCTGCTGCATATCTTAAATTTCACTCTGGAAAAAAAGGAAACTTGCAGTCATACATCTGTAAATAATACTTTCTGAGGTGGATTGTTTTGAGGCAGAATATTAAGAGAAGAAAATTTTGTAAACAGATCATGGCTTTACATTGCAATAAGTCATAAGTAACTGTAATAGGGGATGTTACTACACAGATAAATGTAGGAACTAGTGGGGCAATGATAATGAAACAAGTATAGGAAAAAAAAAGTTTACATGTTTACAAGATGAGTTAAAAGTGATTGTAGCAAATCAAGAGACAAATGTTAACTAGAAGTAAAATTCAGTTGGGAAAAAAAAACTCAGAATGGATCAGAAAAGATTAATTAAGAAAAATAATAAATTCAGTGTGTAGTCAAGGAGGAGATTCCAAAAAGAGACCAAAAGAAGGCTCTGTCTAGCACCCCCACTATACAGAAGGTTTCATGTCAGATTTCAAAAGGCTGATACCCAGACAATCATGGATATTTCAGTCATAGTCACAAATTAAGGGGTCAGTGACTTGCTGGGGTGGGGGTGGGGACTTTTGGAAGCACCAATATAAATGGGTGCAGGAACATGGGATAATTCCATTGGGTCAAATAGTTACCATGGAAATGGTTGTAAAGTAAAACCAAGATAAACATGGTTTTATTGCAATATAGTTGAAAATGCTCTTTAAATTAACATTTCTCCTTCAAAACATTTCAAAACCTTTTTGGGTCAATTGTTCATGTTTTGTTGCTAATTTTTTCAATTTATACTGAAAGAATAAATGGCAGATATTGTTGGCTTGGAAAAAAAACAAAGCTCATGTGACAAATATGTTTAAAAAAAAGAGCAGTTGAGAAAAACTCATTTTTTGAGTTGAGGTTGGTAAAGATGTTGAAGTCCTATTAGTCAACTGTTTCCAATCTCCTACACTTAAGATACATGATAAGATAGTCAGTTTAATACATCAAATTATTAACTTCATACCTGACTTCATTTGCTGTTGTACCAACCTTACGTGGGGGAGTGTAAAGTGAGCTTCTGAAAGCCTCAGCAGATTGAACAAATTCTTGGTACTTGTTCTCCTAAGTCCTGTAAATGCAAGTATGCATGTTGTTATTCACATGAGCCTTCAAAGCCTTTCTTTGGTCAGTCTGGCTAAAGCCACTTGTAATGTCAAACTTTGTAATAAGCTCTCATCCAAGCTCTTGGATGAGATGATGAAGATAGCAGAGAATATCCTTTGTTTCAGTGTGGAACCATCGCCAGGCACATCTCAAATGAAGACATTTAGAGATACAAAGGAGAGCTTCATAAGTATCTGGTGACTGAACTGCAATGCAGCCATGATCATGAGAGCAGTCTTCAGTGTGGAGAAACATTGAGGCTGCCTCCTCCTGCCACTTTACTAGCAGATGGTGGATACAATGTTCTCCATTTCATGTCACTTATACTGCATCTCTAACTATCTTAAAAGCATCCTGCTGGCACCAACTTCTCACCAGGATTGAGTGCCCTCTTTACAATCTCTTATTAAGTGCCACTTCAAAAATTTTCAGGTTGGTCTTGTTTCACTTGTGAAGGGACTGGCGTGACTGGAGTTGATATTCTCTCTTCTCAAACAATGGATGACTTGTTTGCCATATTTAATGGAGTTCTTCTTGTCATAGCAATCAAATACAACATCCACACAAGTGCATCTTTTTTCCCAGACGGGACAGTTATGACCTCCCAGTACTTATTGGCAAGCTGTCCAAAAGTTGGTAAACCCACATTCCTCCTCATCTGCATAAATGCATTTGTACTTCAGCAGTATAATATACATGAAGTCTTGCTAGAACAAAAACTCTTGGGAGCCTTTACCAGAGCTCATCGACTCTCCAATCAACCAAAAAACTTCTTGCTTTTAGTAGCTCTTATCAGAGCTCATTGTCTCCCAAAGTGAACAGCAAAGTTCTTTTGTTTGGGAGCTCTTATCAGAGCTCATTGACTCCCTTACTGACCAACAAACTTCTTGCAATTGGGAGCTCTTATCAGAGCTCACTGATTCCCCAATTGACCAACAAATGTATTGGGATCAGAAGCTCTTATCAAAGCTCATTATTTCCCCAATTGACCTAAAAACTGCTTGCAACTGGGAACTCTTTTCAGAGCTCATTGACCTACCAAGTGACCACTAAACTTCTTGCAATTGGGAGCTCTTAACAGAGCTCATTAACTCTCCAACTGACCAACAAACATATTGTGTTTGGGAGCTGTTATCAGAGATCATTGACTCCCCAATTGACTAACAAACATATTGGGATTGGGAGCTCTTAACAGAGCCTATTGACTCCCCAACTGACCAAAAAAACCTCTTGCAATTGGGAGTTCTTATCAGAGTTCATGACTCCCCAATTGACAAACAAATATATAGCAATTGGAAGCTCTCACCAGAGCACATTGACTCCATTTATTTCTTGGTTTCCTTAGCAACAGTTGCCATGGTTAAGTTTAACCAACTTATTTTTAGGTACTTTCCAAAGTTTCATCACCCTTCCAAATTTTATTTTATTTGTTTGAGTAGTTCTGGATGTTTTGCTGATAAGTTCCAAAACACATGAACATCGCTACTTCCGAAGGTGCTTCACAACCCCCAATAGCAAGTCACAGACCTGACAATTTGTGACTAAGACTGATGTGGCAATGATCTCTGAGTATCAGGCCATCATCATCTGATGTCCAACTTTTTTTTTGTAGTGGGGGTGCTATAAGGTCAACTTTTTCTGGCTTTTCCTCCTTGACTGGTGTGGATTATTAACTTAATTCAATTATAAAAAGAAAAATGTGTTAGCATATTGAATGCATCAGGGTATGTATCACATCAATCAGATCACTGCATTAGGGTATTATCTTGCACTAATCAGATCACAGGATTGGGATATACTAGCACCAATCAGAGTATTGTTCATTATGCCAATCATGCATGAAATTAGGAACACAATATGTTGCAATGGAATTAACCCAACATTGACACACACCAAGAGTGACATATACTCATCCACCTAGAGTAATGCTCATGTCCTTCATGATGACTTTGTAGACATGCGACTATAAACCAAGAAACAAGAGAGTTACAGAGAAAATTTTAACAGGCTAATTGAAGAACACAGTAAGAAGTATTTTATTGATTAAACTGAGGCAAGGCACAATCCATTGGCCTTAACAATGCAAAAAATCACATGACATGCCTTTTAGAAAGATCAACATCAATTGCAAGATAATTTTGAACCTGGGCTTTTCCACAGGAAACCCATGAAATAACTTGAACCAGAATATGCTGTTTGACTAAAAACTACATCCACTTTTCACTTTTTTTTTTTTTATAGTTGTTAAAGTGTAACTTGTTGTGTACTTTGTTTAATGGGTTTTTAAAACAGATTCCAGATGACTGGGAGAATCCCTCAGGCAAGTTTTTCATTGGTGTGAGGAGTGCTTACAGTTTGTTTCCAGCAAAGCTGAGAGAGAGACGAGTGGTAAGTAAATGAATACATTGTGCATTCTTGCTTCTAAATTTAGTGTTCTTTTGCAACTCTAATCTTTAAGTTGGTAATGTTTGGAACTCCAGTCGATTGAAAAGTGGCTTTCGTTGGTGGGTTCCATCATTAGTTGCCTCAGATTCAAAAAGTGGTTTTAATTTTGTAGCAGAGTTATGACAGGGAGAAGAATTGACACTAAGGAGAGTTAGAGGAGAGAGTAAAATAAACAAATTAGTGGGCCATTCAGTAACAACTCCAGTATTTTCTGTTAACACAGCTCTGGTGTCTCAGCACTTCCAGGGGGTAATTAATTGGTTAATAAGTTTTTCTGTGATCCCTAGATGACTGGAACTACTCAGTTAACTATTTACAACCTAACACCAGTATGCATATTCTCCATACTGTTCTCTATACTTTTTCTAGGCTTTTGTTAAGGAGAATTTGTATAACAATCTAGAGCTTCTTTTGTTGGTGATCATGGCCCTTATTCTCCTGACCTCAATGTTTGATTCAGGGGTGACATTGTAAGGAGAAATTAGATGCTAGTCACTCTTAGGGGTGAAAGGGTTAGGTGCATGTTTTAATCAGTGTAGGTTAGGTTATAGCTAGTGCTGTCAGAATCAAGCAGCTTTAATGGAATGGTACCCTGTCTTGTTCACTTTTAGAAAGAAAGGCGTGAGAAGCTCTGGGACCCACCTCACCAGGTGTGCATCTCAGAGGCAACAAGGAGGCTTGATCAATGGGATGCAGAACATCCAAATCCTTCAGTGGTAAGCATCTTTTTCTAACATCATAAGGTGATTAAGTGTATGGTTTGGTTATGGCATACTTGCTGACTACCTCAAGTCAAATGAGTGAGATTTTTATCCTCAGTCACCAGATATTGTTTTTTTTTTCCGGTGTACATAGCATGAGAAGTTAATCAGAGAAGATCTTCAAGCTCAAGTAGAGACCCTTGCCAGTCTTGAAAAGAATTACTCTGACACTGGGCCTGTTTTTGACTGTATTGTGTTTCATGATGGATACACTTGGAGGTAATGGGTTAAATTTTTACTGAGACTCACCCCTCACCTCTGTCCCTCTCCCCCATCCCCGCCCCTTGCCCCTTTCCCCCTTATCTCCCTTCCCCCCTCACTCTTTACCCCTTCCCCCTTGCTCCTTGCCTCTTGCTGCTTGCCCCCTTGTGTAAATGGCAATGATAATCATGGTTTTTGTCTAAACTCTCCACTTGCTTTCATCAAAATCATTTACAGCATGTGCTAATTTGGTTTCTAAAAATCATAAAATATTTAAATATTTTAAAATATGAACTGAAGCAGGCATTGAAATACAAGTAAATTTTGAACTGAAATGCTGCCTCTCTCAAATGTAAACCAACATTACAATGTATCCTTCAGCAAAGTATTACAATATGTTAGAGACTAGTTTCTTTTCGCCCTGTTTTTGTTTTTTCATCTCCTTACAGTATCACTGCTGTAGGTTATGAGAAAAAAGGAAATGATCACCAACTAAAGAACTTAAACAAATTCTCCCTTTTAGCATCTTAGGAAATGTGTGGAGAACAATGTGAACAAAATGTATACTGATGTTAGGTTGTGAAGGGTTAAGAGGGCATTTTATTTGGTGATACAAATTTTTTTGTCGTAAGACTGTAAATTTGAAGTGAATGTTTAGGATCTATATGGAAGGATTTTTAAGAGATAGAACATAAACAATTTTCAAAGTTTTTCCTTTTACCATCTTTAGAGCTTGTGTTGACACATCTGAGAGTGGAGACTTAGCCAGCTGTACTCTGCTGGCAAATTACCGAGAATCTGGACAGTATGCCACATTTGGAAAAGAAGGTGTTAATTATTTCTTCAAATAACTCTTTGTTGATAATGTCTCTATTTTGCCCTCCAGAACTAAATTTTTCCAACCACATTTGATGAGGACTCAGTAGAGAGCAGGGGCTTACTCAACCCTTTGATCCCTGAGCGTGACAAGCATCTAATTTCTCCTAACAATATCACCTCTGAATCACACATTGAGGTCACGAGAATAAAGGAGATGATCACCAACTTAAGAAGGTCTTGATTGTTAAACAAATTCTCCTTCCCAGCACCTTAGGAAATGTATAGAGAACAGTATGGAGAATGTGCATACTGATATTAGGTTTTAGAGGGTTAAAACTCCATACTTAAAAGGGTAGCTTTTTGCAGGCATATCTTATTATAATAATAATGCCTGAATTATTTTTCAGATTTGTTCAACTACAGTATCACTGTTTATGAAGAAGGCAAAATACTGTCAATAGTAGCAAATGGAGGTTTGTATATGTGCATCATTCAAGGTTTGAGACCGGGGTGATTTTGTTTTTAACCCTCTAGCTCCCATCAGTGACCAAGACAGAATTTCTCCTCATGGTATCAATACAATATCAAGCAGACAATTGATGAGAATAAAGAAAAACATCAACAAGGGAAATATTGGTTGATCCAATACCAAATTCTCTAAATTAACATTGACAGAGTTGTATGGCAGACAGTAAGGAGAATTACTGAGATCTTGGGAGTGAAAGGGTTAAGTGGCATAACAGTCTTCTTTTTTTTTTGTGCTTCTAGGTACTCATGGCACCCATGTGGCCAGCATAGCAGCAGGGTATTGTCCAGATGATCCAGCACTGACAGGCATTGCTCCTGGTGCTCAGGTGTACATGATATTCTAGTTTAACCCTGTAACTCCCAGAAGTGATTATCTTGTAACTTCTTGACAGGCATCACTCACAAACTTGCGAAATGCTTGCAAACATTTGCGACATTTTTCCAGTAGAATTTCGATTAAAAAATTAACGCTGAAAATGGCTGCATTGAAAAGTTGCTAGACTTATCAAAACTTTGCTAGTAGACAAAAAAGTTAAGTTCGAGCCCTGAGGCATTGAGAATAATCGATTTAACAACAAATTCTTTTAGCTAGTTTACAAGGAAATGTGTAGCAGCTAGAGGGGAGAATTAACAATCAGATCTTGGGAGTTTAGAGAGTTAATGGAGCAAGGTTTCAGTATTTTGAGATACTCTTCTGTGTCATCAAAAATTGTGTTTGCTAGGGAAGGTAGAAAAAGTCTCTCAAGGTTTTTATGCACAAGGAAGCAATTAGGGTGAGGCATATCCTTTACACCCCAACATCAGTATCAATATTCTCCATACTGTTCTCTGTACATTTTCTTAGCTACTGACAAGGAGTTTATGTTTGATAATGAAAGCCTCTTAGGCTGGTGATCATTGACTTCATTCTCATGATCTTAATAAATGATTCAGCAGTAACACTGTAGGGAGAAATTGAATGCTGGTCACTCTCAGGGTTTTAAAGGGTTAAATGAAGAAGGGGTTATATGAAAAGTTCCTTTGTATAAGAAGATTCTGCTTTTTTTTTTCCCCTCAGATTCTCTCAGTTAAGATTGGTGATTCAAGGTTAAAAACCATGGAAACTGGAGCCTCCATGATAAGAGGAGTAAGCACTATTAATAGAGAAAGATGTTTTTTGTCTTGTCAAAAGTGTGGGACAAAGATAATATTCTAAGTCCCCCTGAGGAATGGAAGAGCATCAGAGCGTTTGTTTCCTCATGGGGACTCAGAATATTTCTTTGTCCCATGCTTGTGACAAAACGAAAAACATCTCTCTCTATTTCTTTACCAAGCTCAAAACTTACTATCTTTCTTATTCTATTTGCAAGCATTGTTAATTTTGCCAATTTTTCCTGACATGTCTCTGGTGATCAACCTTTAATGATCTGATTTTTTTATTTTATAGTTAAGTAGATTTTTTATTTAAAAAATTTTGTTTTAGTTGATTGCAGTTCATCAGTACAAATGTGATCTTATAAATATGAGCTACGGAGAAGCAAGTCATTGGCCGAATTCAGGGTAACAAATGAATCCTTTAGTTTCTTTTTGTGTTGTCACATTCATAATGATGATGATAACAACAATAAAGATGATGATGATGATGACAATGTCAGTAACAATGGTAGTTGTAATAATGACAACAAGAAGTGTTTTGCAGAAAACCTCCTGTCACATCAGTTGGAGGGTTTGGTGAGTTAATGATAAATTACCTTGAACCCCAAAACAAGATGTTCAGGGTTGTTTCCAACCTGAGTTATTCTGTTCTGTTCTCAGGGAAGAAAAATTAACTCTCGTGGTTCCATTTCAGACCAGGAGTATTAAGAGGCCATGAGGCTTGAAAAAATCAGCCTACAATCTCAATGAGAGGGTTTTAGAGAGGTCAGGTGGGGAAAATAGTTGCCCATGCATCACCACGCGCTCCATAGTGCATATAATTTGCATTTACTACGAGCACATGGGAGGAGCTGCAATACAGCCATGCAGTATTATAGATATCATAGCAAATCCACTTTAAAATGTGCAGGTTATGTTTATTTAGCTTTTGTTCTTTGTTGTGTTGTAGACGTATAATAGAACTCATGAATGAACTTGTGGACAAACACAAAGTGATATTTGTGTCCAGCGCTGGTAACAATGGCCCAGCTCTATCCACAGTTGGATGTCCAGGGGGCACTGCAGAGTCTCTTATAGGTAAAATTTTTAGTAAAATTAATTTTGAAGTTACAGTGGCTTAATAATTGTTGAAGGTTATGGCAATTAAAGGATACCAATTTAAAACAGAAAAAACAAACTAAAAATCTTTGCCAAGGTTTTTTTCTTTTTTTTTTTCTTTTTTTTTTTTTTTTTTTTTTTTTTTCCAAATTAAGCCATTACGGTTGTAAGAGTGCTTATTCTTGGTTTTGCTCATTGTTCAGGTGTTGGAGCTTATGTGTCACCAGACATGATGGCTGCTGAGTATTCTATGCTGGAAAAACTTCCCGGAAATCAATACACATGGTCCTCAAGGGGTCCAACGTAAGGAATTAGCTTTTAATAATTTGTGTCCAGCTTGCTTAAAGATGAGAAGGCTCTGAGATACCTTAAACATTTTACTCACAAGATCTAAATATGAATTCTTCTCACTGATTGCTGTTCATTTGCTATAGTTTTAATTTTGAGAATTTAATTCTCAATCAAACTTAATACTCTAGTTGATGTTTTTTTTTCGCTTGTTATCAATTTTCTACTTTAAAATGTATTAATGTTGGAAGGATAAATTCTTTTCTGTCACTCCTGGGTGTTAGAAAGTACTTCTGTAGGTATTTTCTCAGCAGAAACTTGCCATTGGTACTCTTTATCTTCCGTTACTCGTGCATTAGTCGTAGTGCGTTTTCGACACGGCCAGGAATTTACATGGTGATCAAACCTTGTTTTGGTTTCACTTGAAAATTACATGTTGGTTGCAAAAATATCATGATTTCAACAGGAAATGCAAACGATATGTGGTATGGAAACGGGTTGAAAGATTTTGGGACGAGCTGGTAAAGGCGGGGCGAACTTGTTTTACGTTAGGGGGCGAAATTGCAAAGGTTGCAGAGGTTTAAATTGTAATGGGGCGAATTCACCACAAAACGAGAAGCTCACGGGGGAAAGGTATGTGGGAAATTCTGGATTTAAAACATCTGAAATTGTGATTTTAAGCGCAGAGTTCTGATCCCCATTTTTTGTATCACAGCACAGATGGCTCATTAGGTGTGAATATCAGCGCACCGGGCGGAGCAATAGCTGCTGTCCCCAACTGGACGCTGAGAGGAACACAACTGATGAATGGAACATCAATGTCTTCACCTAATGCTTGTGGAGGAGTTGGTATGAACTGAAGACTGCAGCAAAAAATTGTAAGTGTTAGTCAAGTTTTTTTGTTGTTAAACTCATTCCAGTTTCTTTTCCCGAATTTATCTCACAGCTCTCCTGCTATCAGGTCTCAAAGCAAATGATATTGCCTATTCTCCGCACAGGTGAGCTTTTGATTTTCAATCATTTTTTAGGCTTTTTTTGTCTTTGGTAGCTCTTTTCAGAAGGCCCCAGCTTGATGAGACAAGTATACGTGCACCACTGGGCTTGTAGCTTGTTGTAGCAAATTTTTTTTTTTTTTTTTTTTTTTTTTTTTTTTTTTTTTAACGAGGATAGTAATTAATACATTAAAAATTTGTTTACGTTCTCAGCATTCGTAGAGCATTGGAAAATACTGCCCTTCATGTGGAAGGTAGAGCACTGTGTGTATTTCTTTAATTTGTATCATGAGAATAATTTCCCATTTAACCCTTTACACCCTAAGATCAATATGCATATTCTCCATACTGTTCTCTATACATTTCCTAAGGTGCTGACAAGGAGAATTTGTCAAACAATCAAGAGCTTCCTTAGTTGGTGATCATTTCTTTTATTCTCATCACTTTCATGTGTGATTCATGGGTGGTATTGTAAGGAGAAGTTAGATGATGGTCAGTCTAAGGGGTCAGAGGGTGAACAAATTGCTTTTTTGTTGCCGTTTGTCTGTTGATATGTAGATTGGAAATAATGTCAAAATGGGGAAAGAACCATGAAGAGGCTTAACCTTCTACAGCCTCACATCAGCATGCATATTCTCTATACTTTTCTCCATACATTTTCTAAGGAGCTGACAAGGAGAATTTGTTTGACAATCAAGAGATTTTGTAGCCAGTGATCATTTCCTTTATTCTCATGACCTTCATGTGTGATTCAGAGGTGATATTGTTTGGAGAAATTAGATGCCAGTCACTCTTAAGGGTCAGAGGGTAAATAGCCTCAGGCGAGTGTTTCATTGCTTGTTTTTGGTAGATTTGTTCGTCTATCGTGGTATGTAACTGAAAAGACACACGGAAACTGGAATATATTTATTTTTATAATGAGGAAAACAAAATAATCTCCTGTTATGACGTCATTGGTAATCTGACTTGCAACAGATCGTAGTTAAGCGCCAATCTGAAAGCGTCTCCATTTTTACAGCAAAAGCAAGTTGATAACTACCCACTCTCATAATTTTTTTTTTTTTTTTTCAGGACTTGATAGACTCACCTTAGGACATGGCCTCTTACAGGTTAGTCAGAGAAATTTATAAATAAAAAGCGGCCTCGCTCGCGCGATCTCATAGGAAACCATATTGAAAACTGATGCTTGTTGGGCCGAACGGGTTGACATGAGCCGTTCTAGAAAAAGCCGTCCGGCCTCAGTGCACATGTACTGCTTTGTTGCAAAAAAAAGGAAGAAACAATATCGCTTTTGTTGCAAAAAATGAGTGACAGCAGTGACCAAAACTAAATGAGAAAAGAAGTATGGGGTATTGGAGTGTTGTCGTCTAAACGTACGATGACGCAAAGACAGTGTCAGCCAGAGTGAAATACGTACTCAAAGCAAATCAAAATTGAGGTAGAGACACCTACGTATGATACGCTGAAATTTTTCAGCCCGAGTTATTGGTAATGTGGGTGGGTAGATTTGGCTTGAACTCCGTACCTTTTTCTCCACAGCTAAAAAAGCATTCAAGATTCTTTTGTATTGTTTCATTTTAGGTCGACAAAGCGTTTGACTTTTGTCGAGAATTTTCAAGAGTTCCAGAAAGAGATGTTAGATTTCAGGTAGGTAACACACGAGGTTTACTTGAAATACTTTTTCACGCTTGAAAAAAATGCGTATACGTGTAGCTATTGTTTGAACATTTGCGCAATTGAATGAGTTTTATCGCAGTATTCCATAATACAGTGCGGGATGCGTGGGCCTAAAAGTTCAGAGTTCAAACCTGGCCAGGATCTCTGTGTTGTGTTCTTGAACAAGACACTTTACTCTCCTCATGCTTCTCTCCACCCAGGAGGATAAATGGGTACCGGCTAACAGTCAGAGAATCCTTGACAAAATGCTGAGGGTAACCTACGATTTTCGAACATCCCACAAATAAAGAGTAGCTAGACTGCTACCATCAGTTGCAAAAATGTTAAGACAGCTTCTCACACAAAAACGTATTATTATTCACAAATCGGCTACGTATAACTAACAGTCCCCCGCTCCTTCTCCCCACTCAAAGTTGGGTCAACTTAACTTTTGGCCATGGTGTAATTTAGGTAGCAACATTGATAGGAGGGGAGGGGGAGCGTAGTTTTTGCATGATCAGGGACATTTCACCAACGATTCAATTATCTAAAATATCTAAACTAATGTTGCTTCTGATTCTGGTTACTTTGCGAGACTGAACGCAGGATGAGAGTTCATCAGGGGCTACCACTTGGATCGTGTGCCGTCTTTAAACGTTTCTTCGATATTTTTTGCTTGCTCAGATTTCTTGTTCTTCTGGCAAGAGAGGAATTTATCTTCGTGAATCCAGTCAGCTGTGTAAACCTTTCTTTGAACAAGTGTCTGTGTCAACACATTATGATGAAGATGTTGGTAAGTTTAGTTTCAAATGCAAAGTTGCATTCCTCAAGAAAGTAACTTGTGGAGAAATAGCAATTTTCAATCGAGTATTGAAGGTAACTCGGGATTGCTTTATTTTTGCTGTACTTTGCTCTGTGATTGTTCCAGAAAACTTGCGCCACTCTCTCGACTGTACTTTGCTCTGTGATTGGTCCAGAAAACTCGCGCCACTCTCTCGACCAATCAGATGCAAAAGTAAACCAAATCACTCGCGTTTTCCCGCACTTTAGACAATTTAGTCGGTTTTCCTTGGAGTTCTCATTGGCTGTTAAAGGTATTTTCCTTTCTTCTGATTGGCCGATTTGGTCACCTAGGTTTTGATTTACAAAACTCCAACGAAAAGCGCTCTGATTGTGTGTGGTTCTATGTGGAAGGAGCCGAGTAGTCATTGATACCATGATTCTCCGAAGATGGCATTTAAATCTTGCCAGATGGGTGTCGTTCAGGGTAAAACAAAATAAAATCAGTTTTGTGAGGGCATGTAAAATAATCGCCAGACGTCGAACAATTTACCAGCGGTCTATCGACGGTCTCCCGACAACGTATCGACCTCTTACCGATAATTTATCGACGGTTTATCGAAGATTACTGGCTATCTAATGATCTTCTCATTTTGTTTTATGCTTTGTTTTATTTTTATTCTTTTCGTTTATTATAGCTAACGATGACAGATTAAACCTCAACCTCCGACTTAGTTTGGTCAGTTCAGTATCGTGGGTGACTGTACCGGATCATTTTGTCCTCATGAATACAACGAATACAGGTTTGTAAGAATAAGAGTACAATGAAAAGATAAAGTAGTCGTTAAATTTGACGGAACAGAAGCAATAATTGGCCTGGGTTCGATAAGTCTGTGCGCCAGCTAGGGAACTGGAACCGAGTACGACAAGGTGATGCTCATTTAGAAACCTCTCGAGAAAATAAGACAAACACGGTTTCCATTCCTGGCTTTGGGTTAAACAGTCCAAACCATTGCTCATCGAAAGAAGAGTTTGATCTAACTGACTTCTGATCTGTTTATATTTCTTTTAGTGCGCAATTTCTATGTCAAGGTTGATCCTCTGGGTTTGCCGCACGGGGCGCATTATGCTGAGGTAATTAAACCGACAAGTTTGCAAAAGTGATTGTGGTGCACTAAAATAATTGCAAAGGGAGCTTGCTGATACGAGAATTTCGTGACTTTGTTTCAGGTGTCCGCTTACGACATTAGCTGTCCACAGCGAGGACCGTTGTTCAGAGTTCCAATAACAGTCATTAAACCCAACAGGTATGTGCCTAGGGACCAGTAGAGCGCTTCCCGACTGAGTGCGTAAAACCAAAAACTAAAAACCAAAAACCAAAAGAATCACTACAAACAATCAATAGAAAGGAAAGCACCGATATCTGGACTTTGCTGCCGCCCCTTCCCCCCCCCTCCCCCCCCACGCGTGGAATACGTGATAAAATGCAGGTTGTTTACTAGGAAATGACATGTGATGGGTAAAGTCCAAGGTTAGGTAAGGCGAATTGCATTGGTAGACAACGTCAAAGCACGTGAGAGTTGCGTCGAAAATTTACCTACAATAGCGTTTAGTTTCATGTGAAATTTTTCAGCGGATTAGGATTGTATCGTTAAATTTAGGCTGGTTACTGGAAAATGTCATTTTATCGGGGAAAGCGTGATCAATAATGATAAGTGAACACGTAATGTTTCCGGAAAATACTGTTTAAATACAAGATGTAATTCATGGAGAACTTCTTAAAGCAAACAAACGGATATTAACATGGTATTCGACATAGAAAGTAAATATAACCTGGTGATCTTTTCGACCTTCGCCAAAAGAGAAACCACAAGGCGAAGACAAGAGCATCAATCAAATATGCCTCATGCAGATGTTTTGCGCAAATTTAACCAGAGTCAGCAAATCTAGCCCTTCCAAAACAAACGCTCCCGTGATAACTTCGTGTTAGGCCTTTTGCTGACGGCGTGTGCGTTGTAAGTGACGGAGCGGTACACAAAACACACTTTAAGTTTTGAATGGTGGAAAAATTCCCTGCCGACTTTTGTAACCCCAATTGATCATTTGCGACGCCCTAATTCCATGAAATGATTGATATGAGGGACACTACCCTCACACACTGATTGGTGCAAACATGCCCCATTGCTATGATTTGATTTGTGCGAGATACCTAACCTAATGCTGCGATCTGATTGGTGCAGGATACATTCCCGAATGCGGCGATCTGATTGGTGTGAACAACTTACCACTCGATACGCTAACATAGAGTTATTCAGTTTTTTTATATGAAAAAAAAAGAACTCAAAAGGCAGCTCATCCTATGAACTCGACGTTTTAATTTCCAGTGTTAGCGATGTGAACCATTATGTGTACGAGTTGGAAGACGTGAAGTTTAAACCCGGACAGGTGCATAGGAGTTTTGTTCATGTCCCGGAGGGAGCAACGTGGGCGGGTAAGTTAAAAAAATAAAACAAGAAATGAATTGTAGTTTTCTTTGCCAGCTGCTGAAGGGAGGAAATTGTGTTACATGTTTCATCAAGATAAAACCCCTTACAGTAGTTGATAAGTTAGTCTTTCACATCTCCTTTTCACTGGATAATGTGTTGACACTGTAAAGAGGTAATTAATTTCATCACATCTGGTGGGTTAAGTTTTAAATAATTTACATGACGAAATTTACGCCCTACTGATTGGCTGAAAACGAGTCCATTTTTTCATGTAACACGCGTGCAAATTACACATACGGCGCGCATGCTCTGCCAAAATTTCGGCTGTCTTAAATTTCTTTAAGACTACAAACTGCACTCGCCCTTCGGTCTCGTGCAGTTTTGTTGACCCGTACCTAGTAACAGATTGCACTCGAAATGATGTTGTTAACTGTACAAATTGAATTTTTTTTTATCAACAGAATTTTCGGCCTTGTCACTTGAAGAAGAAGTCTACGGACTCTTTATTCTCCATGCTGTTCAGTTGTCGCCTCTTTCGTCTTTTAAGGAACACGAGTTCCTCCAATATATTCCCCTTTCATCGCTGAGCGAAAAAACCTTTAGTTTCGCAGTAAAGGTACAAGCTGTTGTATTATTTAAGCAGTAGAAAGAGTGTGTTTCAACTAAATGTCTTAAAATAAAAGGGTAAATCAGTATTATCAGCTGAGTTGATAATGTAAATTGGCCACCGTAATAAGTTTCAAAGCTGATTTTTCGAGCGTTAGCCCTTCGTCAGAGCAAAATATTCCCTAATCGCTCTTACGTAGGACTGACGATGGCAACGTCAACTTTGAAACTCTTTACGGTGGCCAATTTACGTTATAGACTCCGTTGATAATACTAAATTACCCTGTTACACTCTCTCACCGACGCAGCACCACGGTTTCTTTAGAAACTTACCCCCTTTATTGATTTGTCTTAAAATCAATAGCGAGCTATTCTTACTGGCCAACCAGATGAAAGCACAAGGTCTGAAGAAGCTAGTGGCATATGATAGTTTGATTTGTATTTTTTAATCGTAGGTAATTTTATATTTGGGGAAAAAAAACCTTCGGCCACCAAAGGCAAATTTAGAACTTTAGGTTCGTAAAACATTTTACAATCAGGAATGGCGGGAAAATGCAACTATTTGCAATCACGCTAAAGATGTGTAGCTTGCGGGTAAACGCGCGCGAAAACACGAGCAAGACCAAGTAAGGAGTTAGTGGGGCTGTAATTTTTTGTTTGGTAACCCTGTGTCTCTGGTTTTCTTTTCCTTTTTCAGGGAGGTGAGACGTTGGAGTTGTGCACAGCAAAATGGTGGGCTAGCTTAGGAGAGTGTGCCGTCAAGAGAAGTGTCACGTTTCATGGAGTTAATCCCAGTGAAAAGAGCATAACACTGGTAGCTATACAATTTGAGTTTTTCACGCCTTAGGTAGTTCGAAATTTGTTTTATCGCTCTGTGAGTTGTACAAACTTCGAATTTATTTTTGGTTTAGTTTCTGTTTCGTCAACTAACTTAATGGAGACGGGATTAAAACAAATCAGAACACAGCGCGTAGTCACCCGGCTATTCTTGTGAGACTTGGGAAACAGAACTGAGAGTGATCCGAGAATGTCCAAGAGCAAACAGCACGTTAATATATGCCGTCCTAGTCAAGTGTTAATGTGAAATTTATGTGTTGGACGTATTGATGAAACCTTTTTTAGGAAGAAAAACAACAGTCGGGAGAATTCTTAAATCAAGCCAAGCCGAAACACCGAGACATTTTTTAAGGAATCTCAATTGCAGCCTGCTCCATTTGTGCCTCAAATTTCCAGCGATAGGGCAATAGAAAATGGTTCTGTTCTTTGCCCTTTCCTCAATCCCTCGCGTGCGCATTGTTTGTCAGCGGAGAGACGACTGGGCACGAAGCAGTAAATTGCGTCAGATAACACAGCGGTCAGACACTGCGCATGCACAATAGTTTAAAAACAATAAGACGGATTACGAACGCGTGTCTAGCGTGGAGTAAGGAAGAAAAAATTAAGTCTCCAATTGCTGTATTCCAATACGTAGGACGCTTGGAGTAAGATTAGATCTTGGTCTTGTTTTATTGTGAGATTTCTCAACTGCTTTTTACGCGATCGCTTCGTTTTAGTGATGACCGCAAATAACCGAACCTTTCCCTACCCCTGCTATACAATTCTTTACCGGTTGACTGTTCGCAGAAGACACAGACCTGCTTTCAACAAGGAAATAACTGCTGCTAGCACAGCCAAGTTTACGGACGACGTCATCACGCTGCCGTGCAAAGTGTGAAAAAAGTATGAGAGTGTAAACGACAAAGGAGGGAAAGTCTAGAACAACAACGTATATAAGTCTTGGCCTTAGAAACTTAGAAATGTGCTTAAGAAACGTCTCACTCGGGTTCTCTGTGTTTTCACTAATAAATTATCCATGTTGCTTTTATCCAAGTGCACATGCGCAACCTCTGGGATGTTTAAAAATGACAGCAGCGGTGATCTCTATTCGAAATGTTCTAAAATAGTGTATTATTTGACGTATGTCCAAAGGAAAGTCTTTGGAACTTCATAAAAAAATGAGTCTAAGCTCACCGAGGATAAGTGCTAGAACGCCGGCAAGCCAGAGAAAAAAAAAACTAGGGTGAATACATTAAATCGAGGCTCATTGGCATAATTTTTGCAAGAAGTATGGAAAAATAAGGAAATGCTCTCGCAAGAGTAAAATTTAGTCGAACTTGAAAGGAAAAACAATCAAAAGCCCACAAAAAACCCTAAGTTATTGTGAGTGTATTGTTTCAGTACAGTTATCTTCAAGTGAGCAGATGGTTTCACATGCCAAAATTGATATTCCGACAGCTTTTTTAATTTATTGTCTCCCTTGAGCTATGAATTGTCTTTCTTTATCAATGTCTGTAGGGGTGGACGTGTTTTATTGACTTTCGCAGGTAATCATGTTTTTCATTCTCTTGACAACTTTACAGCAGATCAATAATTTATCATTATTCTGGCTGGTTAAGAACTCGGTTTTATTTGTAGCGTCAGAAATAACGCTTTTGCGCCCTCACCAAGTCGAAATATAAGACGATCAATTGGCTTTCAACAAAGATTGCTTCATCAAGTGAAAGATGTCTCTCAGATCTTAAACATTTTCATAATTGTCCTCAGACAGATTGTTCTTAAAACGAATTAATTCAGAAAGATCTTTCAGCCTGAAACCAAACTTCCTGACCAGCTTTTAAAAGCGGTTTGTTTCCAGTGCTAAGGACCATTACGTTTGTTAGAAAAGATATCTATTTCAGAAGGAAATGACCTCTTCTGGAGAGGAGATTGCAATGGAATAGAATCAGGTTATAAAGCATCTTCTTTGCACAACGTTCTATCGATTGGTGGCGAGTGTTACGATGAACGAATCCTTTTGTGAAGCGACTCTGCAATATCTTCCCACTTATTCGGACTTTAAAGAACTTCGTTCAACTTACATTGCCAACTGTGTCTTCATTAATTTTCTAACTCATACTGCCATCATGTGGAACATAATAACAATATATGCGATACGAAAAGCTTCATCTTTGCCCAAGACTTTGAGAACTCATATGTTGAGCCTCGCTGTCTCCGATGTCGGTGTTGGTTTGTTTGCTCAGCCATTTTACACTTCTCTTCTCGTCAGATTGTTACAACAGAACCATCTTGGCTGTAATTATTATCTTGTGCTGAATGTTTGTGGTTATTTCTTTTCACTTGCGTCATTCCTCGGTGTTGTTGCGGTTAGTGTGGATAGGTTCTTAGCTGTTCATCTTCATTTGAGATACCAGGAGCTTGTAACGTTCAAACGTGTTGTTGTTGAGGTGATGGCAATATGGACGGCTAGCACATTTCTGTCTTTTTTTATTTTGTGGGGGACAATTTCTCTTCGGGATTTTATTGTTTCTGCTACTGCAGCGATTGGTTTTACTCTCATGTTTGTGGTGTATATCAGAATGTACTTAATAATCCGACGCCACAAGAATCAGATTCGCTCTATGGTAGTACAAGATGTACCTCAGGCTGCTGAAATGACGAATTTTGCGGGCCTCATTAAATCTACTGTTGGTGTATTCTACGTATGCCTTGTCTTCCTAGCTTGTTATTTACCGTACTTAATTTGTATAGCTGTTATTAAGATTAATGGCACAAGTACCACTTTAAAGAAATTTCATCTTTTTGCACTGACCGTCGTGTTTCTTAATTCATCATTGAATCCGGTCATCTATTGCTGGAAGATGAGACACATTCAACGCGCTATCATGGAAATATTGCGAAGCATGTCTTGGCGTAGACGCCAACCTTCTCGCTTGCACTACGATCGGTCTTCAAGTTTTGTTCATGTTGACAACTGAACTCCTGTTTTTAACAAGGACGTCATGCAGTCCGTACTCGCAGAGTAAATGAGGAGAAACGAGAACGTACTTAAAACTGAGCGATACAACGTCGTAAAAGCGATAGAGCAATTCCAATTATTTATGAAACAATGTGTGAGTGGCGTAAGGAGCTTTAGAAGTGCAGCGACTTTTTGATAAAATAGCTTGTGTACTCTTTGATACACAAACAGTAAATTTAAAGTTTGCGGAAGTAATGGACGCACGGATGAGTTCAAGATAACAGAAAATGCCAAGCGCTTCAAGGTTTTTGTCACTCTTTGAAATTAGAATGAAACTAGTAAAAAGAAAAATTGAACTTTCCAATCAAGGAACTTTGCAAAATGGATTTGCTCTGTTTTCTCATTTTTATTATAGTACTCATATGTAGCCTACCATTGTCAAATAGAATTAGCAGGAAACCTTGGTGAAATTTCTCAAGTAAATTTTTAATTCATTGTCGTTCCATCCTCATGTGTACGTAGCATATTTGTATGCACATATTTTGAAGAAAAAAATTCGTCGCCTTTTGAATAACAAATCTCACTTGGACTTCCTTCTATGTGTAATTCTTTTCTTTGCCATCGATATTGTTTCTTCTTCATCAATGTCATCAATAGATCTGCCTAATTCTAATATCTACAGCATAAAACTAATGGTCAGTGCCATGGACTCCGGGTCGAGGATTCGTCTGGGTTCTAGACGTAACTGGGTCAATGTGTTGTGTCAGTAGGCTCCAGTACAGACTTCACATTTTACCCTAATTTGTCTTAGTTGGCGTCAAACTGTTTCGTTCTTTCCAACATCAGTTCTTCAACAGATAAATACTGCCATAGTTTTTTAGTTATTCCTTTGAATTCAGAATCGAGATAATGCTCAGTATTGTTAACCAAGTTGTAACCAATTTTATTTTTACAAAATAGTTTACAAGACCACTTTTACTACCTTAGACTCAAGCCTACACTTCAGCCTTCCATTTATATTTGGAAGAAGATGCATCTTGATATACCAATTCCAATTCAGCTTTGGAGAAATTTTCAACTAAATGCAGAAAGTAAACCTAGAATGCGTTTTTTGGTATCCTTTGCTCTCTGATTGGCCCCGGAAACACGTGCCACTCTCTCAACCAATCAAATTCTAACCTAAAACCAATCGCACGCGGTTTTCTTGTTTTTACTTCGAGTTCTCATTGGCTCCTTGTGCTTTCTCTTCTGATTGGCTTTTAGAATAACGTGGTTTAAGTTTCGCGTCATTCAATCAAAAAGCGCTTAGAGTAACGGCCGCACTGAATTTGGTTTGGAGTTACAAGCACATATAACGAAAATTACTACAGTTGAACCCCGGTAACTCGAATTACCAAGGGAAATTGAAATTACTTCGAGTTATCGGGGTTTCGAGTTATAGGGGTTTTGAACAAAAAGACCAGAAACACTTGATTAAACAGGGTCTATGCTTATAAATGTTGTATTGTAAGATTTCTCGCAATGTGAGAGCCAAAAACGACAAAACAAAACAAAGTTCAATTTTTCATAGTAAATAGATGAGATTAAATGTAATCTTCCGGTGCAAAATGTCATGGCTTATTTGTCCGCAAAAGTGAAAATCGACTTCGAGATATCGTGGGTAAAATTTCAAAGAAAATTACCCGAAGGGAAGTAAAAATTGTTTCGAGGTGTTGGGGTTTCGAGTTATAGGGGTTAAAATTACAGTAAATATATGGTGCAAATCCAAGGAAAAACAGTTTTGCTTCGAGTTGGCGGGGAATTCGAGTTATCGGGGTTTAACTGTAGTGTCAAAGGACAAGGGAAATATTTCGAAGGCCTCATTTCCAGTGCTCTAATTACACTTAATATACCACAAATGGACAGCTGTTGGACACTTTTGCATTCTTCTACTTTTGCTGCAGCAAACGTCAAAGGTCTGCCGAGTGGATGTTAAAACTGCTCTGAGGGAGGAACAAATCAACCCAACTGTATCGCTCAAGACACATGCACAGCCAGTCAGGTACTCAGACGCTTTTGTCTTTATATGTCACCTGACTGTCACGCAATGTAGAGCAGCTGAGCTTGTTGACTTTTTCTTTTCATTGGATTCTTCATCTTTGAGTTTGGTGTGCGTGACTCATTTTGCTTGTAGAAAGTTGTGCGTTAGCGTGACGTCAAGCTAGGAAGATTTGCGTGACTCTCGGACGCGAAATGAAGTCGTTTGCGTGACATGAACTTATGTATGTTTTCGATTTACCTGCAGACCTTCAGAATACAAGATCAACGCGCTTGGTTCGAGAGATGTCTTGCCGAACGGAAGGCAAATTTTTGCTTTAACTCTCACTTATAATTTTCACCAGGTACGTCTTAAGGTGCAAGTAAATGTTTCTTTTTTACAATCTTATACGTCAAGCATTTCGATTGGACTGCCCATGCGTTTTTTTTTTGTTTTTTTGTTTTTTTCAAGTACGGATTCCACATTCCTTTCTGACCAGTTTTATACTGTTTTAAGTCCAAAGCGGGTGAAGTGAGTCCCAATGCAACATACCTGTCTGACTTGTTATACGAATCTGAATACGAGTCTCAACTGTGGATGATTTTCGACTCTAACAAAAGGATGCTGGGAAGCGGAGATGCATTTCCTGACCGGGTAAGGAGAGTTTGGTTTTACATCCAATCCAGGTTGAATTGTCAACTGGTTGAGGACAACAATGAGTTCAACGAGTTTTCTGTCTCTGAGTGGTAGAACATCGAACGCGAAATCCAAAGGTCTGAGGTTAGAATCTTGGAAAACTCAGATTGTCTTTGTCCTAAGCTAGTAACAAAAGATTAACTTCGTTCTTTGCCTCTGTGACTCCTATGAGTGACCGAGACATAATTAAATAATCCTCACAATATCAATACAATATCAAGCGGACAGGTGATACGAAAAAAGGAAAATATCAAGTGGAGGATTATTAGATGATCCATTACCAAATTCTTAGAACTTCATAGGAATTGTATGGCAGACAGACAGTAAGGAGAATTACTTTTGAAATCTGGGGTGCGGAAGGGTTAATAAACAGTTTTTTTTACTCAATTTGAATCTAATTGAAATTATTCCGCGACTGATTGGCTCGAGGGAATAGTATAGCACTTTAAAATTTATATTTCTGATCCAATTTCTAACTCGTTCTGCTTGGTTCCTAATTCTTTGCAGTACTCAGTCAAGTTAGAAAAGGGAGATTACGTGCTGAAGCTTCAGGTAAGATGACTCGAAAAAGCCTGAAATAATCTGCACCCGCGAGAGGTCACGCAAGTGCTGCTTTCGCGTGCGCGTTTTACTCGCATTTTTGTCGAGGTTAGAAGATTCGGTCTTGATTTGGGTTCGTTGAGGGGCAGGGGGGTGGGGGGGGGGGAGAGGAAGGAGTGTTAATCAACAGATCTTGGAAAGAGGCTGAGGAGAATGCAGGAGGAGAAGAAGGTCCCCATATTTTTTGGGCCGAAGCCGACGCTAGTAAGGCTGAAACGCTAACTCCGTTTTGCCCTAAGGAACAAGGCGAACACGTCAAAGTTGTGCTCATTTTTTTTAGGGTTCTCTATTACCGCCTACCCTCCCTGTGTCGTCGTGATCTGCATCCGCCATCAATATCCTTCACGGAAAAGGAAAACAAAACTAAACTAGTGTCTGATGATAACCTGTGTTAAAAATATCTAAAAAGATGAGTCAGACATTCTTTCGAGTTGCTCGACGTTTCCTGCTGTTAATACTCTCTTCCTGAATTTAAAACCGTTCTCATTGTTTGTACTCTCTCACCATCGTCAGGTTCGACATGACAACAAAGATCAACTTGAGAAATTGAAAGACACCGTCATCTTACTAGAGCAGAAACTTTCGCCCGCTATCACTCTAGACACACATTCCTCACGTCTCGCCGCAATGAAATCCACCAAGTTCAATTCAGGCAATAAAAGGCCGGGCTCTTGTTGTCCTGTCTACATAATGCCTCCAGGAGATGACAAGTAAGTAACCAAGCATTTCTTGAGTTCTACAACTACAGCCTCGTTCACAAGGGGTAGAACATGCTATTCGTGATTTCTACGCTTCTGCACCTCTGTGTAATTTGTAATGAATAATTTTACGTTTCGGAAGTTTTCATTTTAGTATTCCAACGTTGAAAAAGAGAATGTAGTGGCCGAAACTAATTTTGCCGGTCTTGGGTCAAATTGGAAGTTTTCACGAGTTAACAAAAGAAATTTGTCCAAAATTGTGGTTTGAAAAATAGAGGAGCAATCAGAGATATTAATTTCTTCATAGAGCAATTTTCAAGGGCCAGAAATGACCTGAAATACCTTTGGTTTTGTATTACCCCGTCATTTGATTGGCTTAGAAAACTTGTGCCATCCTGTCAACCAATAAGATTTAAAACTGATACCAATCGCGACTTGGTCAGTTTTGGTTTTTTTTACTTTGAGATCTCAATGGTTGCTCGTGATATTTTACTTTGATCTGATTGGCTGTTTCTTTGGTTTTGAATTTAAGGAGAATCCCTCTAAAGGTTTTTAAGTCCTCTGAAATACCTCTTCAGTTATTGTAGCCTCAAGGTAGCTTGTCTCGCGGGATTGTAGTTACATTCATTCCACTTACTGCGTGATAAAACGCTGATGAAAACCTGCGATGCACCATCGTCCAACGAGGGAAAATATCCATACTTAAAACTGCGCGATGCTACGGACACCAGAATAAGCTCTGGGCGATGTGAGTCATGTAGCTTGTCAGCGGACTTTACCTTTCTCATCCGAGAAAACTTAAAACAGAATCTCCGACAATTTTTGTGTCGTCTCAAATTTTCTTGGTACTAGTTGTTCACCGACTTGGGCTTTCACGACATTGACTGGACATTTTTTCCTCTGTGATATAGGATTCCCAAAGCTGCTAAACCTGGGCACATCCTGAAGGGAACAGTTTCTTACGTGAAAAGTGAGACTGTAAAAAAAGCGGTGAGAGGGATTTATTTTGAATTTTCCTCGCAGGTGAGCTGCAATTGAAGACATTTTCTGTTGCAGTTAACCCTTTAACTTCCATGAGTGACCAAGATAGAATTTCTCCTTACAATATCAATACAATATCAACCAGATAAATGATGAGAATAAGGAAAAATATCAATTTGGGGATAAAAAGTTGATCCAATACTAAATTCTCTGAACTAACATTATAAGTATTTTATGGTTGAAAGTAAGGAGAATTACAAATTTGATCAGGGAGGCAAAGGGTTAAAGAAATTGTAGCTCCGAAAAAGGTGTTGCTGTTGTGAATTCAGATAAGTATTCGCGATTTGTATAAACTTGTTTTTTATTCTGGTTTTTCACCTGTTTTGCTTGTTAACCAGCAGACGTATTTTAGATTTAGCGCCAGTCGAGCCCGTTTCCGTCGAGTGCCAGTTGAATCATTGGAAGATGAATCGACTGTTTTTGTCCAATCAGAAAGAAACACAAGCACTCCGAACACTGTCATTGAACTGATCGTCATATGCTCACGTCAGTAAGATCAAAATTGAAATACCACGGATGCATTTTGTAAATGTCTTCCTTTTCGGCAAAATGTTAAGGATTTCATCAGAAAAAAAAAGGATTATGGCAGTTATGTACACAAATTGAGTAGTTATGAATGTAGAGGATACAGGTGCTACTTTTGTGGTTGCTGTTTTTTTCAACTTCTCATATCAATTATTTCAGTGCGCTTACCCAGTTCAGTACGTTGTTCCGGCCGCACCTATTAAACAGAACAGCAAAGCAGCTACCGCCAAACCGGTGGAAAAAGAGGTTAGTCCAAGGAACCGGGAGGGCGAGGGCGGCGGAAGGGTGTCGAAGGACTTAGGTTGTGTCACAATGTAATTTACCTGATCCCCCCATAAGGCTCTGTGGTATTGCGATGATCCCCCCTCATTAGCAGTCAATTTTCTACAGTCCCCCATTTAAAATCTTTTAGAGGAGAGTAACTTCCCCCTCCCCCCCAAAAAAGAGGCGCCCCCCAACCCCCTCAGGCGATAAATGATGAGTTGTCCTTTAGGGAGAAAAAGGGAAAAGGACTGAAACTGCCTGAAGTCTCATGAAGCACAACATTTGACGTAACATTCATTAATTGTCCTCACCAGTCTCAACTATTTATTCTGGCACTCAAAAGAAGAACATAACTCCCCTTTGATGATCATGTGTTACATTTTCGTTCGTTCAGCTCGCTTTTCTCAACGTTTTGTGCAAATTTTCAGATGAAACAACAGTTTGAGGAGGCAATGAGGGACCTTAAAATCTCTTGGATACCAAAGTAAGTCAGGTCTATCTTTAGTCAATGCCATTGACTAAAAAAGTCAAATTACCCCCCCCATTTTTTATTTTTCATTTGTTCCTTCTTTTCTTTTCACATTTTAGACTTGGTGATGTAACTCTGTATGACGAGCTTGCGGAGCAGTATTCTGATCATTTACCGCTACATGTAGCAAGACTCCATTTCTTAGACAATTCCAAAGTATGACAGATATCAGATGATTTTATGTTTTCATACTCCGTTCTCTCTGTGGATTTTTGTGATATACTGTTTTACCTGATAGATACCTTATAGCTGTTGTACAAAACAGAAGCGTGCATGCAACTTATACCAAAAATTTGTTGGTAGAATTTTACTTGCGTCTTTTTTTTTTATCGTTCCCAAAGGATAGACTTCAAAGGCTTCCACAAGTAATAGTTGCAGCGGAAAAAGTCATACAAATGGTAAGAGTGCAGAATGAGTTGATGGAGAGAGACACACGCACAGATAGACAGTCTAAATCCTGCACCAGTAGCCTAGCTTCATTTCCAGCATATAAACACACATGCACAACCCACAATTCCTCTATTCGCTCTGAGGAATAGCTAACACTCGAAATATCAGCTTTAGAAACTCTTCACATTGATGGCCAATTTACATTATCAACTCAGTTGATCCAAAAATTATCTTTTAATACCCCCCCCTCCGACGCAGCACCACAATTTCCTTAAAAACTTATTCCCTTTACTGTTCTTCTACAAGTCTGACCGACTGACTGCCACACTGGCTGACTGACTGACTGACCGACTAACTGTCACACTGATTGAATGACTGACTGACTGTCACACTGATTGACTGGCTGACCAAGTGACTGTCACACTGACTGACTGACTGTTGGAATCATGTAGGAACCGAATGGCGACTCATTCAATTAGCCGTTAGAGACTGACATGTTTTTTCATCTTATCTCGTTTAGATAGATCTTGTTGAGTTGTCCAGTTATTACGGTATGAAGACCGACACTCGGCCAGACGCCATTATCATCAAGAGGTATTGAGTCTGAACCTAGGATATTTCTATCAGCAATATTTGATACTTTCTGTCCAATTTGTATGTTTTGTTTTGAGCGCTTTTCAATTGAGTGTCGTAATTCAAAGCCAAAGTTATCACAAGAGCCAATCAGGAGAAAGTAAATATCTTTGAGAGCCGATGAGAACTCAAAGAGGTAACAATCAAACTGCCTAAAGCGCGGGAAAACGCGGACGACCAAGTCGTGATTGGTTTTAGTTTTGCATCTGATTGGTTGAAAGAGTGATGCGAGTTTTCAGGACCAATCGCAGATCAAAGTAACGCAAAAACAAAGCAATCCCGGATTACTTTCGACTCTCAGTTAACCCTTTCGCTTCCAAGATCTTATCAGTAACTCTCTCTACTGTCTGTCATACAGTTCTTATGATGTTAGTTCGGAGGATTTGGTATTGGATCAACTAAGAATCCCTTAAATTATATTTTTCCTAATTCTCATCTCTTATGTAATTGATTTTGTAAGGATATTGTGAGGAGAAATTCCGTCTTGGTCATTCATGGGAGTTAAAGGGTTAAAATTGCTCTGTGAGCACACTATAATCTTTGATTGGCTAAGGACTGCAATTTTCAATCTGCCAAAGCTCCTCACCTGACGTGTTACTCAAAATCTGTGTAAAAACTGTGGCAGATCCTTGGTTTAAGAACCTGTTACGATTACAAGTGACGTTAGACAAAGGAAATAGAGCATTCAAAGCAATAGACCGTGGAAAAATAATTGTGGCAAAACAAAGAGAAACTTCACAGGTTCTTACACCAGAGAAAACACGAAAGCACCGTCAATTGCGGGTTGTCTGCGGCATAGGTTGTGATTTTCAGTGCAACAGATTTTGTTTAAATTGAATTTTTCTCTCCAAAATGTATATATTTATTTGTTACATATCTAGACTTTGATAGTTTTGCAATAATTGTATAAATTCTTGAACTCTCAAAAATGGATATGTGATGATTATAGCCAATGAGGCCCGTAGGGCCAAGTTGACTATCTATCTTCTTATATCCAACGCGCGCTCGTGGAATAATTGTCTATCATTCTGTTTGGTAATGTAAATTGGCCATCGTTAAGAGCTTCTACGATGGTCAATTTACATTATTAGCTCTGTTGACAAAACCAATTTATCTTGTTTTACCCCCCCCCCCCATTCCCACCGACGCAGCAGCACAGTTTTTCAAGAAACTTACCCCCTCTCCCCCCTTTACATTTCTGTATGAACTGTCTCCAAATTATTTGGTAGATCCTTTGTCCAACTAATTGCATGTCACTTTTATGATCCAATAGTGAGAAAGACAGCCAAAAAGCTACATTAATAGACGCTTTGTGTCGTAAGGTAAGTGTTCCCCCTAAGCCAGAGAGAGCTTCGGAGAGAGCTTCTTTTCAGTCCTTGTATCAGTTCTATTTAAGGGGTAATGGAGAGCTTGTTACAAGCTAGGAATGGGAGGTAGATGCAAGGGTAATGGCATTGAAGAAGGTAGACCATTATTGCTCGTTTGTTTTGTCTTTCACTCTGCAGTTGCTGTAGTTATAAAGTCTTTTTTATTCAACAACTTGAAAGTTCTGCTTTAATCTTATTTTTTTTTCTACTTAGGGAATAGCTCTAGCTGACAGGATACTGGAAAAATCTTCAGATAGTAAGGAAACCACAGGTAAAACAACTTCAAATCCTTGCCTTAAACCTCTCAATTCCAAGATCTCATTAGTAATTCTCTTTTGTGTCTGCCATACAATTCTTGATGTTAGTTTGGAGAATCTGGAATTGGTAAAGCCTTTATATAGGCCCAAGTGGCCCATGGGGCCAACGCTTAACTCCGGTTTCCTTAGCATGAAGCGGCTGCTAGTCCATCGCAGGGTTACCCCCAGCATATTTGCTAGTAACCCATTTGTACACCTGGGCGAAGATGAGCACTGTGAGAGTAAAGTGTCTTGAAGAACACAACACAGTGACCCCGGCCAAGGCTCGAACCCGGACCACTCGATCCGGAGTCGAGCGCACTAACCGTGAGGCCACCGCGCCTCCACTCAATCTGGCATTGGGTCAAGTAATAATCCCGTAATTGGCCCTATTTTCTCTCTCATTCATCTCTGCTTGATATTGTAAGGGAATTTTTGTTTTGGTCCCTCTTGGGATTTAAAGGGTTAATCTTATCTATTGCAGTGAAGTTTGAACTTGATAAAGTTCGTGTCACGTACTTTTTCCAAATGTCTCTCATTTTAAATCGCTAGACGATGGAGATGCAAGTAGTTCGGATGACCAGACGGAGACAGAGGAAGCAATCTGTAAGTGCAGAATCTGTGAGCAACCATGTTACTACAATGCTTTCCATCATGATTTCAAGTCGTGTGGTTCTCAGTCATGATAATCCGATCTTCTACCCAGTTCCTCAGTGTCCGGCTGGTCAGCCAGCCAGTATAGGGATCTGGGTAATAATTAAAGCGCATTTTTCGGATATCTTTTATTTGGTGTTGCTTGGGGTCAGAATTCAAGTAAAAGTTTCTTATAATCTTACCGAGGATTGCGCATAACTTAACCTAATTTAAGTCATCGTTTTTAGTAGCCCCTCAAGGAATCCTCAGCTAATTTTCCTGTTTATTAGTAAGAAAGTGCGCTTACACGTATTATTTCTGGAAAATTTATCGCCGATTTTTTTACTTTGCCTTGTTCTCCTTCCGTCAGATGAAAGACTTGATGAGACTTTCAAGGAACTTGTTAAGTGGATTGACGCATCAGACCCTAAGGTAAGTCTTCAAAAGATACATTTTTGTCTTGATCTAAAGGTCGTCGAAAATTGATTGATTTTTTAACTGCATTTTAAAATTGAATCAATTTCAATTCAACGGCTTCTTTTAAGCCATCTTTATCAGTTACGTGCAATTCAAGGCCTCTTCACCGAGCCCGATAACTGGGAAGAATTTTGCCTCAAAGTGAAACAAATAAATTACCTGAAGCGCGAGAAAACGCGAGTGACCAAGTCGTGATTGGTTTTAATCTTGACTCTGATTGGTTAAGAAACTGGCACGAGTTTTCTACACCAATCATGTAGCGAAGTAAAATAAACCAAAGTAATATCAGATTATTGTCTACACTTAATTGAAGATTGTTCTATCGATAGCCCAGCAAGCCCGGAGAACCGGGATCGTATAAAAACAGTTTCTTTCCAAGGGAAAATGTTCTCGTAGGTCTCATACTTGATTCTGACGCGCTTCTTTATGTTCAGGTTCTGCCGTTTTACATTCGCCGCGCGCAGGCAATGAAGCTCTACGGCCTTGCCCTGAAGGCTTCAATGAAACAAAATGGCGATGGCACGCCTAACAGGGTAAACGATGACAGGAACATCCTGGTTAGTAACATCAGCTTTATCTTTCGGTGTCATAGGAGAGTAACATCAGCTCTATCTTTCGATCTCTATTGTCGTTATTGACTTGCAAAGTTTGTTTATTTAGTTTTGTGTGCGATGAACTTTTACGCCGTGTAGTAACCTGTTCCAGCCTGTCACAATGTTGCCATCATAAGTTGTCGTGAGTGAAGGTGCAAAGTTATAACTAGCTGGATTTAATTCGTTTCCCGTTTCTCGCCTTTTTTACGAATTTTTTTCTTTTCCGAATAGCAAGAAAAGTTTTGAAGGGTTTTAATTTTTTGGTGGTTTTTGCGGGCAGTCCTCGATCAGAAAATTCGCAAAGACAAAAAAAAATACGGCAAAATAAAACGCCGCTGTTGTAAAAGAAAAAAAGAAGGGCACGTTCGAAAAGCATCGTATTCGGTCGAAATTTAACCTGCTGTAGAGTAGATGGTAGGCGTAACCGTGAAAATGGAACTGCGTTTTAAAATGTACCTGTCGTTTTGAAGACGGGGCCGTAGTTTTCAGCAAAATAACAACAAAAACAATCATTCAACATGCTTTTTCCTTGTTTGTTTTTTAGTTGTTCGAGAAGCTTGGCTGGGAACATTGTGCGCGACTCACCAGAGAGAGTCTTCCGGTGAAGTATCCTGCCTCCTATCAGCCGTTTTAATGAACACTTTTGCTGTAGCTTTTATATCGCTGTTTCATTTTGACAGGTTTAACTGAATTAAATGCACGCGGGCACGTGTAGCACGAAAAGTACTAAATTTACTTACATGATGCACTTCTTTGTATATGGACAGTGCTGTTTAGACCTTTCACTCTTGTTCTCAGATCAAAATATCAATGAATGAGTTGCCAGTTATCGAATCCTTGTGTATGCGCAAAGATTTCAGGAATCGCCACGGGGCAAACATTGGTAGTTGCTAGAAAGAAATATAGCGATAGGTCTTTTCGACTTCCGAAAAAAAAAAACGATTTTGGAGAGAGATCAACGCTTTTTCGCCGCATTTTCATCACGCGCAAATACAAGGATCCGATTACTGGCAACTCATTCATTCTCTGTATTGTCTGCCATACTTTTTTTACTATTTAAGAAAAGAGAATTTTGTTTTCAATCAATCCGTGTTACGTGGTTGATATGTCTGTGTTCTTATCACTTTTTTACCTGGAAGAATAGTTTAATTTGAAGGAGATATAACATATTGGTCTTTCCTGTGAAAAGGTTAAGTACGCAATTTTCAAATGTTGTCAAGGGTATGTAAAACTGCTTGATGAACAGATCGATTCAAAAATGAATCTAATAAAAAAACACGCTGTTGTCACGTTTCGGCCGTTCTTTTTGAAGTGAAAGTTTTGTAATACCGACTTAAGCAAGTGAAAATCCACTCATGAACAAAATGATTTCTCGACGCAGCCATGTGTTAAGTGCAAGATGAGTAGATTTAACTAGACTACTACTGCCCCAGCTTTTCGGCGAAGTCCGTTGCGCGAATCAGAACAAATCGGTAGAAGAAAAAAAAAACATCGATATTAACGCATCGTGTGGAATTCTGGGAGTGAGGCGCAAGAAAAGTAGAGTTCGGCGCGTCAATATTTAATTTTTTTTGGCTGATTTTTTTTCTTTTGACTCGCACTACGAACAATAGGAGGGACTTCTCCTAGATTTGAACACCAGAAAAAGTTCGCAGGTGGAGGTGCCTAATAATTATGCCACCTCCCGCAAAACTATCTCAAGTTTAGTCCGTTTGAACATCAAGGTGCATTCTGTTGAACGTAACCAATTTAGGTTGGTGGGTTTATTGGGTTATTGGGACAAATTTGTATTTGATTGATCAAGTTGAACTTTTTCAACCAGCACCAAGCAAGGTTAAAATAGTTGAAAAGACGTGGGTACCCAGCTGTCTTTTCGCGGGCTTTATTGGTTGGTCCTGGGCTCTAGGTTCTTCTAGCCGTTGGAAACGTTCGCTGTAAACGATGAGGAAAACGCCGCAAAACAGACCAATAACGCGTGCGCGTTTGATACGCAGGCTATGGAAAACAAAAGATGTTAAATACAGCAGTCGACCTCACTGGTGTTCATCAGATTCGTTGGCTACAAAGTCCTCTTAACCCTTAAACCCTGAGGGTGATTAGCATCTACTTCCTCCTTACAATATCACCCCAAAATCAAACATAAAGGTTCGTCACGAGCCGAATAAAGATACCGATCACCAGCTTAAGAAGCTCTCGACTTTGAAACATATTCTCTTTGCCAACGCCTCAGGAAATATATAGAGAACAGTGTGGAGAATATGCATACTGAGGTTAGGCTGTAAAGGGTAAGTTCCAATGAAGAAAGGGTTCTTCTCTCGACTTGGCAGCTCGGATTTTTTTTATACTTTCGTAGCGTAAGGTCACAAGTGCACTGAATTTCAGATTTTTAGACATTTTGCCTTATCTCTAAAAGATGAAGTGAGTCAATGAGGAAAGACAACGGGAAAAAAAAACACAAGAAACCTTAATAACTCCGGCAAGAGAACTGACGAAAGAGCTTAAGTGACACTTCGATGTGAGCGAGTCTACAGAAATTCAGAATACTGTAATGGCAGTTCCAACGAGCTACCGTTTCAACCGAAAATAATTGGTAAAGGGAGTTATTGGGAGACCTCAAACGTCCTAAACCGATGGCGGTCAAAACTTCGATCCAGAGAGAACACGATCCGAGGAATGCTGTGAATCCCTTAATTATTTCATTCCCAAGATCTTGTTAGTAGTTCTCCTTACTGTCTGCCGTACAAATCTTGTAATATTAATCCAGAGAATTTGATATTGAATCAACTAATGATCCCCTCATTGATATTTCTCTTCATTCTCATCACTTGTTTTCTCGAAATTGTATCGATAATGTGAGGAGAAATTCTGTCTTGGTCACTCATGGGAGTTAAATCAATGCAATGTTGCAATAGTGACAGGTGTACAACATCATCAGGCGCCCATATGCATATAGCAGAACTTACCCACACACCCTTTCGCTCCCAAGATCCAAACGAATTAAAATTCTCCAGAGCTTACCACTCTGTTGTAAATTCTCATAACTTGTTTCCTTGAAAGTGTATCAAAATTTTTTTATGAGAATTTACAAATCGAGCAATTCTGAGAGCTGTGCATGGCTAAAACAACATCTCAAAATTGACTCTAGAAGCTCAAAAAGAGTTGTTTTCTACTAGCCGTGTTAATTCATAGTAATTTTTTGGTTTCTTTTCCAAAGGTGATAGACGCCTGATTTTTCCCTACAGAAACACACATTGTTAGAGATGCATATGGTTAAATAATGTGTTTTATATCCTAATGTATTTTATATGCCAACATCCGTCAGAACACATGGTGTGATATTTCGTTCATAGGAGGGCTTAATTCACACGATGCTCGGTAATTAATTTAAAGAGAAATTCCACTCACAAGACATTTATCGAGACTCAACACAATAAGAATGTATCCAAGTGTCCTCAAACACACTTAGCAGAGTCCTAAAATCGAGCCGAGAAATCAATAAGTTTTGTCACTTAGAATTGCTTCTTCTTTCTCCATTTCAACGTCATTTTACTACTGTCTTACTGTTATTAGTTTCGCTCTGCAGTTAAATCCCACCAGGCAATGCAGTATATCTTTGATGCCTTCTCTTCGACTTCGCAATTGAAGGCAATACAGTCACAGTCAGGTGTGAATTGATTACATGACAAAGTTTTATTTATGCAAAAAGAAAAAAAAAGAAAAAAAAGAAAAGAAAACCTGGATTGTCAATATTTGCCGTAAACTGGCAAAATTTGTGTATGATAATCAAATTGCGTAAGAGACAGGAAAGAATCAAAGAAAAACGGAGTGCAAATCCGAAAATTAGCCGTACAGTATTCTCTTAGCTTGCTTTTTTAAAAGCCGATTCACCGCGACCCTTTGTTTTTCTAATTTCCTTTGTATTGTTATCGCCAATATCCCGCACATCTTTCACCTAAGCTCTGTTTTGTAGCTTTTTTGACTTAAATTTGCTTCAAGCAATTATTTTCTCATGCTTACTCGTGCATGCAACGGAGAACGAAATTCAAAGGTAACAGACAACCTCTCTTCCGTCGGAGGATTAACATCACAATAAATGTTTATCAAGGATAAGTTTATTTCTTATTCAAAACTGGTTCTTTTCTAGATCTTCTTTGCATTTATGTCCTGGGCAAATATTTTTCTCACTCTCTGAGGGTATGAGAATATCGGTGTAAGAGGTCTTGTATTTACTATTTCTCAAAAGATGGGAGAAGAATTTTAATGATATAAGAAGTATATTTTAGCATTGCTGATCATTGTTTTTGAACGAAGGGCTGAAAAGGTGGATTTTAAAACAATAGTTAATTATTCAACGATTTAAACTTATTTCATGGAAAGACTGAAGTTATTCAAGTGCGAAAATACGGACGTGAGATAATTCATCTAACAAGTCAAAGAATATTTCTCAAATCGCTTTCATCGAGGAATAGCAGGCATGTATCTTGAGTTGAATATAACGACTTGCTTGCTACCGAAAGCTTCATATTAAAGCGAATAAATCTCTATAAAAAACACAACAGGTCTTTCTTTTGTTGAAATTGCTACACGAAAATTTACTGTCAAGAAAATTATTTTTGCTACGAGTCCACGTCCTAAAAAATTACCATTTGATACAGTTACTTATCTGGTCCACAACGAGGTTTTTGCAAGTTGACAGGCTATAGAGCGTGAAATGAGATGGGCTTATTTTTGTTTAAATGACAGAAAACTAATTTTCTTTCCTTTCTTCTCAACGCTTGAATGCGTTTTGTGTAATTAATGCAGACAGTACCCTCATGTAATGGAAAATGGCTACAAAAGAAAGTCATGCCAGAAAAGAAAACCGGAAACTTTCGCTCAAAATGAAAACCAAGGGAAAATATCAGGGTCAGTTTCCCTCCATAACTGCACTGACCAATCATGTGCAACTAAAATTTTCCCGCGAACGAGGCAGCGAAGTAATGTCTGGAATGTTGCACTTGCGCAGTGCTTAACTATTAGCCACGTGGTTAATGATTGGCCAATCAGAAGGCAAAATTAAACCCCACCGCGAAGATCGTTTGTCAGGGCCTGAAGTCGGTGCAAAAACATGTCCGCTCAAGCGAGGAATTGAGAAATTATAGCTTGATTTCTGCCAAACTAGCCCTAAAAACATGCCTCGTTAAGCAATCTTGCGATAGATATTACATTTCTTCGTACTTTCCGAGCGATCGCGTTGAAATCAGACCGAGATCAAGTTCGCGATTTCGACGAGTTTGTCTCGCATCTCAGCCACTTAGTCTTTGCGCAAATTGGAGTACACGAATCACCCATGCGATCTTTTCGAGCTGTAGTGAGAGGTATAACGTCAATTTAGATTGTACCGATGTCGAATCCAACAGCCACACTCACAAGCTTGTGGATAGAAGGTTTGTACCTTCCGATTTTCTTTAACACACGTGTTTATTTTTTTTCGTTGTGAAACGAGTTCCTGCGTTCTTCTATCCTTAAGCCAGGTTAGAATTTCTCAAACTCACTTCAGAACTAATGCATTGCTTAACATCGATTTCATTGAGAACCTTGTAACTTAAAGAATTTATTTTTTCGTCAATTGTGCCAACTCATCAGGCTCAAGGAACGCTTTCCTTTAGTTAAAATAAATTGTTATCCTTTTCTGATGAAAGCTCTTGAATATTCAAATCGCTTGTAGGTCAACCAAGCCCTGTGAAGAGTAACCCAGCTACTCCAGTGAAAGGAGTTGTGAATCGGGACGCTACAGTGGTTTCAGAAGACTTCTTAAAGTTTTACAAAGATAGTGGACTTGAACCTTTAGCCCGAGAGGTAGGAAAAAGTTACCCTCAATCACCTCGTGACTTCGTTACACTCATGCTATGGCGATTAATATGGTTCGGTACTCGACGAACAGTATAAATCTAAACATCTTCACATTTATCCGCGATGGCTTCTAACATCGCAATTTATAATTCATGATATATTTCTTAAGCTCTTCTTGCAAATGACACTTCTAGTTCGCCCTCAGTTCGCTTTCAGACCGAGAGTCATTGCATACGAGAGTTCACTGCATCACTTTCATTCTTTGTCTGCGCGATTTGAGTGATTTGCAAGCACAACTCTGAGATCGAGCTTTCGTTTTTCACCAGCATAGTTCCCCATCAAATCGCAGCTCAGACACTAATCTTTTCTTCTTTTCCTTCTTTATTTTGACTGTTAGGCTGGCGTGATAGACAACAACGGAACACTAGACGGACTGAAAGATTCCACCTCTCATCCAAGAGTCAATTGTTAGTTTTGCGATATTTGTTTGCTTTTGGATTTTGGGTTTGATTTAGGACACTCAAATGCAAATACATTTTTTTTTTCGAACATGTCGCTCACTTAAAAGTATTCAAGTGAAATTTCATCTCGGCTCGGTAGATCACATGGTTTCGGATCTACGGCTTGGATCTTGTGTCTTTGATTAGATTAGCACTGATCAAGCTTGTATCATTGGTTCACGCGATGTTCTGTTTAAGTGGTACTACTTTCTTTGTGGACGAATTAGTATGTTGAATGTCCAGCTAGAATTCCTGGGCAGAATATATCTTTCTTGTGATTACAGACCCCTTTGGGAAAAGTAAAAAACTGACTGAATTTTATATATGACATAATTTTGAAGGCTTTATTGCCTTTTTTCATCTGAAGGTTCATGTTTACTGTTGCATTGCAAGTGAAATAAGCTTTTTTTGGTTGTCTGGTGCAGTAGGACCTTGATCAAAACTGAAATGTGACTTTTTTCAGTTTTGTGTTGCATATCAGTAAGATTTCCCTGTATATCTGTACAAAATATTTCAGTGTGGAAGTTGAGAGAATCACTTTTAGACCTTGGGTACTGTAGTCCACTGCAACATATATTCATATGTGCAGGGTTAAATTCAACCCTTTAACTGTCATGAGTGACCAAGACAGAATTTTTCCTTACAAAACCAATACAATATCAAGCAGACAAGTGATGAGAACAAAGAAAAATATTAATTAGGGGATTAATAGTTGATCCAATACCAAATGCTCTGACTAACATCGCAAGATTTATATGGCAGATAGTAAGGAGAATTACTAATGAGATCTTGAGAGTTAGAGGGTTAACCTGTTCACTCCCAAGAACTACGTTTCAATTCACGACACTGTTTGCAGCACACTAGATATATACTCAGCTCTGATAATTTGAAGAATTCAAAAGTTTCCCCTTGTTGGTAATTTTATGACATTTCTCTGAAAATCTATCGATAATGTTGGGAAGAATTCCTTCTGGTTGCTCCAAGGAGTGAAAGGGTGAAAAATATGTTTGGCATCCTGGCCTTAACAATCTTTGAATTCAACCAGCACCTGCAAAAAGAATTGCTCATATCCTTATTTTTAAGAAGGTGACACTCAGTAAGATGTGCTCTGTACCATCTGTAATGAGGTGTTTCTTGTTGTCCTCATTGCCTGTGTTTTTTCTTCTTTACAATATACCTCCTGTGAAAGATAAGTTAAGAGATTCTTTAAATTCAGACAGGTAGCTTAGTTGACCCTTTAACTCCCATGATCTGATTGTTAATTCTCCCCTCTAGCTGCTACATATTTCCTTGTAAATTAGTTGTAAGAATTTGGTATTAGATCCAGACAACAACTTCTACCTGATACATTTGAGTATTCTCATTACCTCTTTGCTGGATAGTTGATGGATATTGTAAGGAGAAGTTCCAGCTGAATCACTTTTGGAAGTTAAAGGGTTAAAGAACATAATGAGATCATGAATGTACTGTTCCTCTTTCAATAGCTGATGCAGCAAGACTGGCAAATAGCCCAAATGTGATGCCTGTGACAGCAGCCAAAATTTCACCTGTTATTTTACCCAAAACAGCAAATTCTGCTCCATCCCCAATGGTAAGAATGCTTTATATTGTGTATCTTTCTTCAAAGGATGCAGACTAGTAGAATTTTGCTATAAATTTTCTGCTGTTTTGCAAGATGGTTGGGTCTAGTGATTGGCTAGAAGCTCCTGGTCAAGAAACCTGGATTTAAGCCATGATCAGGCTATTGTGATGTGGTCCTGGGAAACTCTCACACTACCCCTCTCCTGTTGGGAGCATTAAGATGTACTGATGAATTATGTGGAAACCTGAAAAAATGCCAGAGGGTAGGGTAGGGAGATGAACAATACCTCCCACCCACTAATCTGTTTCATTTCCAAGATCTAAACATAAATTCTCTGTACTGCCTGCTATACACTTCTAATCATGTAGTTTATGAGAATTTGGTCTTAAATCAAACAATATCCCCTAAATGATACTTTTTTCTGTCTTGTCACTTTTTTCCTTGGAAAAAGGTGCCTTAGAATCAGAGATAAGCTTTGATTATAAAGGGATTTGCCAATAGGCTTGCAAGATGTCACTGTCCATTGTATGAATTTCTTCCTGCAGTTGTAAAGAAAGACCAATAAAGTGTTTTTTTTTCTCTGTAGGTAATAGGTTCTCCTGGACCACATCAAGTTATTACTGTTGGTGGAAGTCCAAGAACACCAACCATGATTGCTGCTCCAATTGTGGCACCAAATACAACAGCTTCATGGACGAGGTAAGTGATACTTGTCAAAGAAAAAAATGTGATAGAGCCAAGCTTTTTTCAAGGAAAGAATCTGGTCATGTTTGGAACTTTGCCATCTTGATTTTTAAATCCAACATGTTACCAATTATTCAACAGCTCAGGGCAAATAAAATATGATGTACTTATTGACTTAATGGAAGGGCCTGATGGGAAAATATCTGGCTTAAGGTTGTTATCTTGGAACTGAGCGCTGTAAGATCCATGGTCAACCCTTTAACTCCCAGATCAAATTTGTCCTTACTGTCACCTATTCAATTCTTATAATGTTAGTTCAGAGAATTTAGTAGTGGATCAACTAATTATCCCCAAATTGCTATTTTTCTTTATTCTCGTCACTTATCTGGTTGATATTTTATTGATATTGTGAGGAGAAATTCTGTCTTGGTCACTCATAGGAATTATAGGGTTAATTAATATGAAAAAGAAACCCACAAAAAAGTACAACTTACATGGTCATTTCTGTTTTATTTTAAGTCATTTTCCACGATTAGAATTGTTCTTAGTATATGCAACAGCTGTGTCACATGTAGTATTGGGCCAGCTGGCTATGCGGTCATAATGATTTTATTTAGGATGGTGCCTTTAGAGTTCACAGTTGTCACATGACCAAGAACACAACAGAACAAATTGGCAACTGTGCCCTTACTCCTAATATATAATATGGTTGGACTTGAGGTAATTCCTCCAAAAAAAAATAGTTATTGAGCAATTTTTTTTTAACTTTCCTTAAATTTTCCTACTTAATGTCCCTTTGAAAAAATACAATAAAAATATATACAGGTCACCTTGCTTGTTCAAGAGTTAAAGACTATCATACCTCTTTACCTGGTCCATGGATTAAAATACAAAACCGTGTTCTTCAAATGCACCCATGCTCATTCCCCTGATTACTTGATTTTTACGCATAATATTGGATGTGCAGTGCAAAACTGAGGAATCACCTTAAAGTTATCTTTGTAATCATAGGTTTAAATAAGTGATGATATGACAATAACTGGTTTCCTTTCTTTGTAGAGTAAACACAACTCCAAATAGTGGAAAGAAAAGGAGAATGGATTGCTTGGAGAATAGTGACCTACTAGATAGTGCAGAAAGGTTAGAGATAAAAGAAAAACAGGGTTGTTATTAAGAGTTGTAGAATGATGTGAAGAACGGGGGCATTTTCTCTACATTTGACTGGAAAGTTGCTCAGGGTTTGAAAATTTTGCCTGTGAATTTTGGGCAGTAAACTGGTGAACCCTGTGATCTCTAGTGCTTAATTAACACTTTAGAAAAGCATGGACAGGAATAGCTACACTTCTGATGCCCTGATACAGCTTTTAGTTTGGTTAATTTAGGATGGGAAAAATCTGCACTAGATTGATACTGCAATCCTGAGTTCTTTTTTAACTCTTGAAAGTTTAGAGACCATAAGTTTTAAAGACTGATTTTTTTTTCATCATGAGTTACTGGAGGCATACTTTGAATGCAAAATTTTATCCCCTCTCAGAAAACGAGGTAAAAGACTACCAAGTGCAGGTCGCTCAGGGGGCGATAAAAGTGGAAAAGGGCTGAGACATTTCTCCATGAAAGTCTGTGAGAAAGTTCAGCAGAAGAGAACAACATCCTACAATGAGGTAATCACTTTAACACGTTTTACTTAATAGTGAGCAGATGTTTGTCAAAATGGTGTGTAATATGCTGTATGATATAACACTATTTCCTTGAATAATCACCTGGCCACTCATCCAAAATTTCAGCTTAAGGGAGGGGCACGTATTGGAAGGAGGGTGCTCAATGGTGGAGAGCATTTACTAAGAAACTACTCTATTGTAGTTTAAGCTTAAAAAATCATAAATAAAGTAGCAATGGAAACAGGTTTTCCTTGTATCCCTACTAATTAACCCTTTAACTCCAAAAATTGGAATGTTAATTCTCTCCCCTAGCTGCTAATTATTTCCTTGTAAATTGGTTTGGAGAATTTGGTGTTCAGTCAAGATAATATCTATTATATCTATTACCAGTTCATTATGATGAGTGGCCTTTGAATTAGAAATGTCAACTGATTCCTTTTCAGGTTGCTGATGAATTGGTTCAGGAGTTCAGTGATCCTGATAAACATCTCTCACCCACGGACCAGGTATATTGCCAATGATAACCACAGTATTTTTGTGATGAATTTTTTAATAAAGTAGATAAGCCAGAGAAGTGTGGGAAATTCACCATGCCATTAAATCTGACAACTTTGAAGTATTTAAGCATGTTAACCCTTTGGCTCCCAGTATCTAATTTCTCCTTACAATATCACCCCTGAATCAAACATTAGGTTTATGAGAATTAAGAAAAAAATCACCCACTAAGGATGCCCTCAATTGTTAAACAATTTCTCCTTGTCAACAACTGAAGAGAAATGCAGATAACAGTATGGAGAATATGCATACTGATGGTGGTATGTAAAAGGCTAAAGGGACACAAAATAGGATGAGATTCATGGAAAAGTGGATGAATTATGATATTTGATACATGAAGGTTTCTGTGGTAGGCCATGCTAGGATTATTGGCCTATTAACTCTCTTAGATGCCAAGATAATGATGATGATTGTTCAAACTCTTTTCAAGAACAACTCAATCTCTGTCAAAGCAATCTGATAGTCTCAATTCGTGTTTTTTTTTGGTTTGTTTGGCTATCTATTCTATCAAGAAAAACATTGAATTTAGCTGTTTGTGCTTATTTTAAGGCTTACGATCAGAAGAACATCAGAAGAAGAGTATATGATGCATTGAATGTGCTGATGGCAATGAACATCATTTCAAAAGAAAAGAAGGAAATCAAGTGGGTTGGTTTGCCCACAAACTCTGCGCAAGAATGCCAACAATTAGAGGTATGTGTAGAAGAGCTGACCCTTTGTTTAAAACTACACAGTGTTCTGGACATGTTTGCGTACAGTAAAAATAATCACAAGGTTATTGTGTAAACCTTAGAAGTAGTTCAAGCAAAGTTTTGCTGCATGGGCAACAATGCACACTGTAAGGATTTTTATCCGGTGAATTTGACAAAAGTAGGAAGCTTAAAGTTTTTGTGACAAAATCATGCAAAAATTTAATGATTTTCTCATTTGAAGTGGCTGGAAACTGATTTTCGAGCATCTAAAAAAGTTGATGGAAACATCTTAGAGCTCAACTCAAGCCTTGATCCTCAAGGTTTTTGAGGGACTGTCAACTTACTTGTAAATTACTCCTAAGGTGGACAGAACATCCTATTGTTAAATCTTTGATGTGTACTCCTTTGTCTTAGCTAACTGAAGGTTCCTATTCTATATACACACATATTATTATATATATATATATATATATATATATATATATATATATATATATATTTGATATTTATATATATATATATATATATATATATATATATTATATATATATATATATATATATATATATATATATATATATTGCACAATAGAGAATCATCTTATTGCAAATGAAATCTTTATTTTAGACCCAGTGCACAAGTGCCTTCATCAGGGGTCTTTTCATTTATTTCAATAATGCATTCATGTACATATACATACATATATATATTTACCCCTATATGCTTAAGTTCTTACCAAAAAATTGTCATCTCAGGAAGAAAAAAGGGAAAGACAAGAAAGAATAAGACAAAAGACAGCTCAATTACAGGAGCTGATCCTGCAGGTAAGCCAATGCAGTAATGAACATCCTCTTTGCCTCAACTTGACTTTCCTCTAGTCAAACTTATGAAAATGAAGGAACAAGTAGAATAAAGATAAGATCTTTATGATGAGGAATTTTGGTAAGCTCCCTGTTGAATTCCAAAAGCATGTGCTGGAGAAGAAATGTAAATTGTTGTGTTTCCTTGATCCTTCACTCCTAAAAGTGACTAGAATCTAATTTTCCCCACAATGTCACTCTTAAATCAAACCTTAAAAGAAATGATTAATTGCCAACTGAAGGAACTCTAGACTGTTAAACAAATTCTCCTTTTCTGGATTTTCATAATGATGTCTGGGTAAAAAAAGCTAATCCAGAAGTGATTAACAAATAACTTCCTCTTTACAATATCAATATTTACCTTGCTGAAAAGGGGTTAGAGTAAATGAACTTACCAGCTACAAGGTGTTAAGTTGATGTAGCATTTAAATTCTCTTTACTTAATTACAATAAAAGTATAGCAGTTGGAAGGGAGAATTTGATTCCTGTTTGGAAATATGGACCTGGTGTTCATGCTAATTTCTTTTTAATGTAATTTCAGCAAATTGCTTTTAAGAATCTTGTACAAAGGAACAAACAAGTGGAAAAGGATCAGGGTTCACCAGCTGCCAACACAGCTATCCATCTGCCTTTTATCATTGTGAACACAAGCAAGAAGACTGTCATTGACTGCAGCATATCAAATGACAAGTAAGAAGAACTAGCTTTGAGTAGTCCTGTTTTGCTATTGCATTGGGTGTGGGGCATGTAGCACAATGGAACCTGGCAGTGTTTGGGGGTTGGTTGTGTCAGCATGTTCAACATTTCTAACAACTCAGGAATATTTTACAATTGTTCACTGAGTGCATAGTGAATATTGCTGAATAATATTTGCTTCATTATTCAACAGTCTTCACTGAGCCTGAGACGAATAATTGTTGTAGTATAATTTTGTTTAAGTGCTTTCAAATTCTGTTGTAACTTAAAATAGTAAATTCTGCTACAATTGTTTAGATTAGTTGTATCAAGATGAGTAGCGAGTTTCCACTAGAATTTAACAGGTTCATCAAATTCCATCATCTCTTTCTTTTCAAAAGTGTTATGCCAAACCTGTAGGCATCTTTTGTGGTCTTCGGAATTGCATTTTTTCTATCATGTTTATCACATCCTGTGTAACATTGACAAAATGTGCCCCTGCTATAATCACCTTGTGTTAGGTGGTTATAGGAAGATATAATGCAATCCTCAACCAATCATAGCATGTACATCTCTACAAAGAACAAAACAATTATACTAAAACTTGGTGACAGCAAACTCAAGGGAGGTGAGGGTAAGGGGGAGGGAGTGACCTGCAACTGATAGTATCCCATTCATGTAAACATGCAATACTTCTACACTTGTAGTTGGTTGATGGTGTGGAGACCGTTAGAAAGTTTGGAAGAGTAGACTACTTAGCAAGTGTGGTGGCCTTCCTTCAGTTAATTTAGTTTGGTTTGAAATGTAATGTCCAAGTTGTAGTGAAGTGATGGCAGCATGATACACCAACCATTAGAATCTTAAGATCTTGATGTAGATTTTCTCAACATGCAAAATTTCTAGATCTTCCTCTGCTATTCACCTAAACAATGATTTCTACTTTTCGGCCACATGTATGTATAACATTATCATCTTTTTCTTGTTTGCTCGTACCCTTTAGATTTGAGTATCTGTTCAACTTTGACAACACATTTGAAATCCATGATGACATTGAGGTTCTGAAACGAATGGGTATGTCATTCGGTTTGGAAAAGGGACAGTGTGAGGAGGCAAACCTGCGAACCTCAAGAACAATGGTCCCAAAAGCACTTGAGCCTTATGTCATGGGTAAGACTGTGGAAAGGTTTATATGTGAATTTAGAATGGAACTATTCTTGGGTTTATTATTGTAATCATTATTACTCTTATCTCTTCTATCACAGTCTTTGCTGGTGGTCTTTTTGTGCATCAGCCAGGTGCAAACCATACACTTAGGGCATTAGTCACTCAACTCAATTATTCTGTGCATACACTACACACCTTTCTGAGGATTTGTGCAGATCCCAGCATGGAGATCTTTTGAATCTCTGTCACAGAAGCTGTTTCTGATACTTTCTTTATGTTTTCCACCATCCCCTTCCTTATTATACCAAACGCACCAACAACCACAAGGATCACTATGGTTTTCATATGCTACATTCTCTGTATTTCTAGTTCTAGGTCTTTGTACTTGCTTTTCTTTTCCATTTCCTTATTATTATTATCATTATTATTATTATTATTATTGTGGTTATTATTATTATTATTATTATTATTACTGTTATTATTATTACTATTATTATTATTATTATTACTATTATTGTTTTAATACACAAGTACCATTTCCTGGAAGTTCTTTACAGTATAACTGTGACCTTGGTCTTGAAATTGCCATGGTGAAGGGCACCATTCTTGGCAAGTTCAAATTATAAGTGACTGACCTTAAGTCAATGAATAATTTTAATTTTTTTTTCTTAAGCTAAGTAAAACCCAAAATACAAACTCAAGAAACCGTGTCCATGGGGAGACAGCAGTTACCTTGACCATACCAAGATCCAATTGGATTCATTACTGTGACTCCTTGGATAAAAAATTTGTTATAAAAGGACTTAAAATGTGTTCTTTCTTTTCTAGATATGGCAAAAACTGGTCCAGTTGGACTTGCTGGAATACTTGGCAATCATGCAACACCCAAGTATGTAATGATGATTTAACCTGTTCACTCACAGGATTAAAGCATAACTTCTCCTTGCCCTTTTCCAAACATTGCTTTTGGTCTAAGTTCTGAGAATTTAGCGTTAAATCAGTGTTCTCTTGGAGATAGTTTCTTCTTGTCACCTGACTGCTTGACAATGTGTTAATACTGTAAGAAGGAATTATTTATTGTTCACACTTTGGGGCGAAATTGTGTTGCAGACCTGGAGAAAGGCTTTGATAACCTCTTATGGACTTTACTGTTAAGAATTAGCCTAAAACATGTGGTTTTGTGTGGGCTTTGTGGTTTTGAGTGGCAAAGCTACAAGAGCTAAAAATCTGTTTGACTTTTTTTAAATTTCAAAGCAAATCCATGGGGTCTTCAGCTTCTCCGTTGGTTGCAGCCACTACGCGGATGTCACCTCTTCCTGCCCCAAACACACCTTCGTCACCACTGGCCACCCCCTTGCCTCAAGGACATGGAACTTCACCTGTACCTACGGCAACCAGCCATACACGGAATCGTACCTCAAGAACATCATCTATGGCTAGTGATAGTGGGCCCTCACACCGAACCGCGTCTCCATATTCCTTTCCCTCTTCTCCAGCTTCTGATGCTTCTTCAGAATTATCACAAGATGGATTTATGGACACAGACGACACCAACACACACCACTGATTTTATCATCAATTAAAGTTTTAGGAGTGTGCGTTTAGGCGATAGAGACAATTATGATATTACTTCACTTCCCAAGAGTGAAGTATTTTGGTTTTGGAATGCAATAACTGAACTAAGTTTGTACATTTTACAGGCTTATACTATGAAATGCTTACTACCATTTGGTATTAGTTGATGCAAGGCTTTTATAGTTTTTTTTTTTTTCAACTTGAACATCCTCTGTGGAATGCTACAGAACATCAACAAGAATGTAGTGTAGTAAAACATATCCAAACATGTACGTACATTTCGTGAGACAAAAAATGGGAGAAAAATAGTGATGTAGATTAGCGAAGTTTTTGATCTGAGTGAAAAGGTACTGACCAAAGAGAAGGAGGTAATTTTGATATCAATGTTCTTTGGTGTAGATTTGATAAATAAGGTACAAGTTGCAATTTGTAAGTTTTACATCAATTTGTTGTGATGGAAACAAATTTGAATGTATATGTTAAAGCATCAAATGGACTTCTACTGTGTAACATGCTCTGTGATGTCGAAGCTTAGTTCACAACTCCTCACAGAGCTGGTATTATTTCTGATTTTGTACAGCACCTCGGGCAGAGTGCAAAGATGGGTACAAGGCTGCAATAAATAAAAACAACAAACATGTAAACTTTACGTGGTTTTACATGAAAATCAGAAATTTGTAGGAACTGTGTGAGACATCTCAACTTCCCTGTTTGGCGGATTCCGTCAAGCGAGTCAAAAAGAAGCGAAGAGTCAGGGCACGAAACTTCCCGTTCCACTTCCACTCACAGAGTTCTGCGAGGCGCGCCAGCCAACATTTTTTGTTTTGCAGATTTTGCTAGCTTTTTTTTTATTCTGCTTCGACAAGTCCATCATATGTTAGGTTTTCTCAATACCGCCATCCCAACGTTTCGAACAGTTCGTGTAGAGCTCTCGCCCTCGAATCGAAATTTTACTAACATTGCCAATCTCGAGCCCGGGGTCATTTTCAGCGGTATGGTTGCTAAGTTAAGCAAAGGCTACCTGTAATCCTAACTAATCCGACCAACACCAAGCTTATCAGTAGTCTCAGTTTGGGACAGCATTGTTCCCATTCTACGGTAATCATGGGTTGAAGACAGCAACAAGAGCTAACAATTAACTGATTTATCAAATACCGCCAAAAAAGCGAGCCACAGGCTCATTGGTAACAAACTCTATGTCTAACTTATCATATGGGAGTAAGTGAGAGTGAAATTTAGGTCCATACCAAAACCTCATTATATGACTAATGTTCTACCATGAGATAAAACAAAGTTCTCTTGAACGTGCGTTTTGATTGGCTAAAAACAGTGTGCTCTATTAAACGAAGGTTTATAAATTTGCCGATGTAAACTAAGATGAGAACATGAAAAAGACTGAGTTTTTGAAGGTTTTGAAGATTGAACATGGTAAATAAAAACACTTAAATACAACTAAGTATAGCATAGTTTCCTCTATCTTGTTTTGGATTTTTAGGCGAGCGGACGAAAACGCGCGGGGCGGAACAGCATGGGTGGAGGTTTTGTTGTTGTTGTTTTTTTTTAACTCGCTCTTCCCCTTGCGAAAGTCTCGCCCCTCGCGCTTTCTTCACGCTTGTCACGCGCTGCCCTCCACTCGCCTGAAAGACACGAAAAGTGGCGCCTGTTCCACAAGCTAATGTGCCACAATTCACTGTCTTGGACAAGGCAATGAGTGAATGGATTTTTCTAAAACTGGCCATAGGTTAGGGTAGTACATCGCTCTTCATGGAGTTGACTAAGAACTTCGAAAACCTTTCAAATAAGAACTCTGTTAAATCTTTAGCTGTGCAAAGTGAGAAAGAACGATGTTGATTCGTGTTGTCTCTGTCTTAGTCTGTTCACACATGAGACGATTTCGACATTGCTTGTCGAAGCTATGAGCAGGATGCGTGTCACATATAGACGTAGTAGCGTAGCTCGTTGTGGAGTCTCTGTAGCTCAGTGGCAGGGCATTAGAGCGCGAAATCCGAAGATTTGATGTACGATTACTGATGAGGACGTAGCGTTTTTTTATCTTTGTCCTACACCTGAGACAAGACGAATGAACATCTTCCTCCAGAGCCTTTCAAATTTAATTTACCCTCTCTTTTGCGTTCTTTTAATTTTGTTTTTCGTTCAAAAGGGAGTAACCGTGGGTTAATTTCTCCGTGTTTTTTCTCCTTCATTGGTAAATTTCATTGCGTTATCGTGATCTTTGCATTCTTTTGGTTACGCTCCCCTCGTTCAAGCGATTTCAAATTGAGGCCATAAATTGTTCTTATTCATTGCATAGATTTACTGCATTTAAGGATATCAGTTTTTCAAATTTGCTCTTTTCGAGTGTCAGAGTAATTTCCTCGTCACATAGCAGTCGCCGTAAATTTTTTCTCTTGTCTTGTGCGGCCGTTACTTACAATGCCCTTCATTTAGCTTGATTCTTGATTAGCTGGCAGGGCGTGCAAAAAGAACTCCGCGCCAAACTTGTGACGTAGTAGCAAGTTATTGGGTGCAGTTGTTAATCCATATTCATCAGAAGTTGTGAAATTTTCAGCAGACCACGCCGGTCTGTCGCACAGTGAAGACGTGCCGTCTGTTGTGCTAAACAAACGCTACGCTCTGGAAGGAAGGAGACACAGGACCTCAGAAAGCAGAGAAACGAAAGCACTTTCATGACACTACAACAAAAGGTGAGCATTGCTTTTTGAAAAATATCACCGTAAGCACCTTCAGAGATCTAAACGAGTCGTCTTATCTCCGTTCAACGACGTAGCATGAATCAGTTGCTCGGTCTAAGTGGTTCCTCGACTCAGAATTTCACTGAATTACAGTGTTGGCTTCGATAAAGGCAGAGCAATGATTCTAGGATATTTTTAATGAAACGTTCGAATAAAAATGTTTTGCGTGCTAGCAATCTATCGATGACCTCATTTTGTATTTGAATGCTGCCACGTGGAGGTGTGACGAGTCTTCTTCAGTGGCATTTACTTCATTTCAAATAACATTTACAAAAATGGTTTTGATGATTTCCCTTTTTCTTTAGCTGCGTCAGAGACAAAAACAATTTTTTAATTTTCGTCCTCGTGGAAAATAACATTCCCTGATCACGTCCGTATTTACAACTTTCAGGAAGAGCAATGACGTCAGAGGAGAGAGGATCAAAAGTTCTGGTCAAGAGAAGACTTTGGAGTCCCTGAATTCTTATTGGATACTGCAAAGATAAGAACTTTTACAACATCTTGTAATACCAGCAAAAATGGTGGCTCCTTAAATATCTAATAGTACGAAGTCTTCGCTCTTTCAACAACAGGCCATTCTACAGTTGTGTACTTAGTTGCCAAGTCTTTGATTTGGAGCGAGGCTGAAGGTGACCATGTTGTGATAGGGACTAATATCTAGTCAGCGTGATAACAAGGTAATTTATATTTGAAAAGCAGCAAGGTTTGTATCATAACAAGGTCACCCTTAGCCTCACTCCTGTTCAAAGGCTTGGCAACCAAGCACGCAACTGTGAAATGGACTATTGTCTTGGCATGAATCGACCTGATTACATGATAAGTGAATAGTGCTCATTTAGCCACCATTTTTGAAATAGCTTGTTGTGTTACTGATTGTTATGCAGACCGTGAGCGATCATTTGATTTATTCGAGCTACCCGTTACAATTTGGTGTAATTAATCTCAGATAATCTGGTTGCTTTGAATTAAGGTTAGAAAAAACTGGAAACTGATATAATTCTGGCTACGGGAAAACTGACATTAAATGATCAATTTCGGAGCTCTGATCGCTCATTTCTTTGGTTTGGTTAGCTGTTAGTACCACAGTTATATCCTAGTTGATATCACGCCAAGTTGGTATGTTAAGGTGGCACTCCAACAAATTAAATACTTCGGCCAGACAAAGACCAAATAGGATTCAACATTGAAATCTTTTGACGAGTTTTAATTTTTTGCATGCTTTTTTAAGTCAAAAATCACATTGATGAACACCATCGATTTACACAATCTTCAAAGACTGACTTTGAAAGCTAGTTTACAACAGAAGACACTAACTATCAGCTCTTGATAAACGGCGGCTTAAAAAAACCCTACGCGATCACCAACCGACAAAACAGAACAAACTAACCTTAAAGAATGATCAAAACTGACTTATCAACGGACGAACGCTATTTGAGTCTGACAGCCACTTTACTGCAAAACTGATCAATCGTCAGTCTTGGAAACCAAAGTTGTATCGTTCGACTTGTACAAGCAATTGTTCCCTCGACTCTGATGACCAGTCCGACTAGTTTTGACGATCAACCTTTTCATGCAGGACTTCTCTGACCTGGACGATCGTACTTCACGACTGACAACTGAATTATTCCAAGAGTAAAAGTTGGCTAAATCATATTATGCAATAGAAAATTCATTCTGGGCATAAACTGAATTAAACTTGAAATTTAAGAACCTTTTATTCCAAAAAAGAAGTATTTTTTTTTTATACACGAAGCAAGAATTTAGTAAAGTGCCATCTTAGATTGAATCCATTACTTTGTGCTATCAACTGGGATCGGTTTCCGTTTAAAATAAATATGTATTTTAAAACTTTAATGCCTGGTCACGCGCTCGAGATCTTTAACGAAACTGATAAAGTTGAAATTTACCACCATATAAACCAGTTTGAAATTAATCCTTTTTATTACGAAGAAGTACAATTTCATATTTAGAGAGGAGTTCATTCGATAGAAACGAAGGCGGTAAATTGTTTGCTAATCTTTGAGAAATAGTTTACAGATTGCACGAAAATCAACTTAGACATGCGAGCCAGTGGTCAGTGCTCCGGGCTCCGAGTCGGACGACCCGGGTTCTAGTCCTGGCCAGGGCAAGGCGTTGTGCCCTTGAGAAAGCCCTTGCGGGAAAAAAAAATGCGAGCTCCGCTTTTAGGCTTGGCTAAATCTACATGTATTATAAACGAAGGCGGTAAATTGTTTGCTGATCTTTTAGAAATAGTTTACATATTGCACGAAAATCAACTTAAACATACGAGCCAGTCTATTGACTAGTAAACAATGAGAAGGTCTATTGGCGAAGAATCTTTGCTATCAAAGATCATAATTGTCTCAAACGAACAAAAAATGACATTTTTATTTGCTTATCATGATTATAAATTTTGATAAAACACGTTAATTCTAAACGAACGTCAGATTCAGAAATGCAAATGAAATTTACAAATTTGGGGAATTTGATACTTCACCAAATCAAAACAGATACCATATTTTCAAATTTCGATGACGCCGAGTTTTATGGGAAATTAAGGAATTATAAACAGATTTGCTTATTTCAGAATTGAAATTTTTACGGAACCAAAGCGCAAACCTGAATTGAAAATTAGTAGTATTCAAGTAAAAGTTTATCGAAAATAAATGAGGTTCCGTGTCCTGGCTTTAAAAAGATAGTTCTTCAGCTGGTTTATATAGAATCGTTTCTTTAATACGCACTTTCTAAGAAGTCCACAAAGCTTGTAAATTAAATCGCGTTCGATCAAAGAATCACTTCCTACCCTTTGCACCAGGCATTTTGTTTTAAAATATATCGTAGTTAGTTATTTACTTCTTAGTGCAAGTGGAAGGAAGATCTTTTGTGCAGTC